ATTTGTTAAATTGCCTTGCAAATAAATGATTTGCTACCTGTTAAAGGCCAAATCCTTTCATGTAATGATTTTTACATGTCATTTATATTAGTTCACACAAACACTCCATCCATCTGTTCCTGGCCCGGCCCCTCTGTCAAATTTTAGAACCCATTGTGGCCCGCGAGTCAAAAAATTTGCCCACCCCTGGTCTAATGGGAACCCATTACATACAAGGCGTATGATCAGAAAACAATAGGTACAGCTGGGGCGGTGGTGGCTTCGTACGCCTGCAAATCCAGCACTGGATGAGAGGGTTGGTGGGTCACACACACACACGTTGTGAAACTCCCTTCACGTGTGCGGGAGAACCCGGTACAGGAAATGTGGACTCCGCCTGTTTCGCCTGGACGAGGTACAGCAGTGTTAATAAAATTGGGTATTTTGGGTTAGGTCACGTAAATATAAATCGCGTAAATATGAATGTGTCGTTAAAACCTGCCACCACCCGACACAGCCAATTAGCAAGGGTCGTCACGTAAACAGAACGTGCCAATTCGTTACTCGTACAGCACACCGGTGTGTCGGAGAGAAAATTCCAACACACCAAATCGTTACTGTTCTGTTTACGTGACAACCCTTACTAATTGGCTGCCTGGTGGTGGCGGGTTTAACGACAGACGTATTTACATTTACTCGCTCTAACCCCCCCCAAAAAACCTATACTATGGATGATATTGGTCGCGAAAACCTACTACGTGTTAATAAACTAAAGCAGTGTTCTTCACAAATTTTCAGAGGGAGGCCACTTTCGCCGATAGGACATCATCAGCGTGGTGTGGGCCGCCGCACGTGTTAAACCATCGGGGGTTTAACAGCAGCACGATGATGACGATGTGGGGGGGGGGGGGGGGTCACGTGTTGTGTATTGTCAGGGGCCGCACTAAAGACCACCAGGGGCCCTACTAAAGGCCACCAGGGGCCGCACTAAAGGCCACCAGGGGGCCGCACTAAAGACCACCAGAGGGCGCACTAAAGGCCACCAGGGGGCCGCACTAAAGACCACCAGAGGGCGCACTAAAGGCCACCAGGGGCCGAACTAAAGGCCACCAGGGGGCCGCCCTAAAGGCCACCAACGGCCGCACAAAAGGCCACCAGCGGCCGCACAAAAGGCCACCAGGGGCCTCACTAAAGGCCACCAGGGGCCGCACTAAAGGCCACCAGAGGGCGCACTAAAGGCCACCAGGGGCCGCACTAAAGGCCACCAGGGGCCTCACTAAAGGCCACCAGGGGCCGCACTAAAGGCCACCAGGGGCCGCACTAAAGGCCACCAGGGGGCCGCACTAAAGGCCACCAGGGGCCTCACTAAAGGCCACCAGGGGGCCGCACTAAAGGCCACCAGGGGCCCTACTAAAGGCCACCAGGGGCCTCACTAAAGGCCACCAGGGGCCCTACTAAAGGCCACCAGGGGCCTCACTAAAGGCCACCAGGGGGCCGCACTAAAGGCCACCAGGGGCCCTACTAAAGGCCACCAAGGGGCTGCACTAAAGGCCACCAGGGGCCGCACTAAAGGTCACAAGGGGCGGCACTAAAGGCCACCAGGGCCGAACTAAAGACCACCAGAGGCCGAACTAAAGACCACCAGAGGCCGAACTAAAGACCACCAGAGGCCGCACTAAAGGCCACCAGGGGGCGGCACTAAAGGCCACCAGGGGCCGCACTAAAGGCCACCAGGGGGCGGCACTAAAGGCCACCAGGGGCCGCACTAAAGGCCACCAGGGGGCGGCACTAAAGGCCACCAGGGGCCGCACTAAAGGCCACCAGGGGGCGGCACTAAAGGCCACCAGGGGTCACACTAAAGACCACCAGGGGGCCACACTAAAGGCCACCAGGGGGCGGCACTAAAGGCCACCAGGGGGCCGCACTAAAGGCCACCAGGGGCTGTCACTGGCTTGCGGGGCCTTGCAATTGAAGAACGCCGAGATGATAAAGTGTCCCCTCGTCGCACGCGTGGGTTCTCTCCAGGTGCCCCAGCTTCCTCCCACAATGTATAAAATCAATTGCCGAACAAAACCTTCACAGGTAGTGAACCGCAGAGCTTGGCGAAATTAACGTATTGGCGGTACACCGGTGATGCATGCGATATAAACAAAAACACTTTTTTGCGCAATGATTTATTTTCCTGCGATTCACAACGCCGGTTAGGAAAATATTGCGGGGTGCGTCAACATCACGTCTCGTGATGTCGAAGGAGTCGGAAGACGAACGTCATGAGCGGCTGAACACGAAACTTCACATGATAGCACCCAGCCTAATGACCCTTGGCTCCGTGTTCCAAAGGCGGCGAGATTTGACTCCTCGTGCCTTAGACTTGGTCGGACGGTTCCTCGATTCATTTCCGGAATAATTTCTCGGCAGACGGTGGCATCAAAAGATTACGAAACCCATGGTGTCACACGTTCGAATGTGAAAGCGGCTGCTGAATCCCAGTGGAACTTCTCATGGAGGAGTCCTGCAGCTCACTCTGTTTCACGAGGAGGCGGTGTGTTGTCTTGCTGCACCTGTGTGGTACCGTTCATATTGGTGCGCTGGCTCGCCGCTGTTGGCTGCTGCCTTCCACGCTCCATCTGTGGTTTCCCATTCTCGTCGTCATCACCCCCCCTACCCACCCACCTATCTCTTTACGAGAGTGAGCGACTCTTGTGTGACCGTTACAAGTTAAACATTATCAACACGCGATGTACTTGCGCGTGCGATTCCATCCACGGTGCGTCGCTGGCGTAGGAACTGAACGTCTTTGTGCCGCTGTTGCCCACACGAGGTGGGGGCATTGCGTTTAACAGCGCCCTCTGTCGGTCGCAAACATCAAAATGACAGCGTCAAAATATTCACCGTTGGACGCGAGCTGTTAGCGAGCGCTTCTTGAAGTACCCAGTGCCGGATTGGCCGAGCAGCACAAGTAGCTACAGTACATAATTAGCTACATGTGTAGTAGTAGCTACGTGCCCCGCGTTTTTCAGGGGCCCGCGCTAAACGCTTTCAAGCTATCAATTCCGGTTCAGTGATTCTGCACCTGCTCTATTACTATAGGACTATACCGCCTTCAACTTTTACGAACCACTGGGCGTTTAAGGTTTGCGATTTGTCGTATTATCTGGCTTTTATAGTAAATGAAAAAAATACAATTACTGTACTTTAGTATGCAAGTAAAAAATGTTTTGAATATTTATACGTTTTTTTTATGTAAGGCCCCTTTTTAACAAAGGGGTCGTCTATAAATGACGTCACGAAATTTTTGCCCCCCCCCCTTCGTCACACGGCGTCACAAAAAGTGAGACCCCCCTCAAATATGACGTCACAAAGCTCTGCCCCCCCCCTCAAAAAAACATGCTTCAAATCGCTTTAAACTATTGTCATTGTAGTGGGTATTTAATGTGGCGCTGCACTCTGATATTGTAAGAGAAAACATTTATTAAAACGTCTATTTAATTAAGTAGAACGTTTTTGATTTAAAGCTTTCGTGACTGCAGTAATTCATATTCTTAGTTTTTTCGGTAAAGTCACGTTGAAGAGAAACGTCGTGAGAATTTTTTTTATTGTTTTATATATATTTTGTTATTTTGTTGTTTCTCTTCAACGTGACTTTACCAAAAAAACTAAGTAGAACGTGTTGTCTTTATTTATTTAAAGTTGCGCATTTTTATGTGACGTCACATTTCTTAACCCCCCCCCTCGTCACACATCGTCACAAATGTCTGACCCCCCCCCCACCCCTAGGTGCGTGACGTCATTTATGGACGGCCCCTTATGCTGCAGCTCCCGCACCTAGCGCCACATTCGGCCGCTCTTTGTCTCCTCGTGTGCCGCTAGCGAGCGCCTGTTAAGCGATAGTGCACAAAGATGAAATCACACGTAGACCCCCCCCTCCACCCACCGCCAATCCCCCATCTCACGTTGCCCGCCGATGTCAGACGCTCCTCCCTCAATCCTTTTTTGTCTGTGGGAAAACATTCCGACTCCTGCAGATCTCCTCCGGCTACTGGCACACGACGAGGAGACCCCCCCCCCGCCGCTCCCCACGTGTCTAGCAGCGAGACGGATGGGTGGCGTGGGGGGGCCGTGGTACAGCCAAGGTTCTGGCTGCCCCCCCCCCAACCCGTGGCGCGACAAATCCTTGTTGCTGCTGCTTGCATTCATTTCTTTGCCTGGAATGTTGCAGTGCCAGCCCATTCCTGGGGGGGGGGGGGGACGCCACTCCGCCGTTTGCCACGCGGCTGATTGTCTCGCTGCCCATTGCTTGCCGTGAAGCTCTACGGGCAGCACGCGGTGAGGTGGTGGGGGGTGTCTGTGGCGACGCCAGTGGTCACTTGCAGGCGCACGTTGCAGCGTTCGGTTGAGTCGAGGTGTCTATCCTCCTCCTCCTCCTCCCCGCTCCCGTGTGGTTTCACTCCTGCAGCAACCCCGCCGCTGCTGCTGCTGCTGTTTGTTGCATTCAATTTAATCCCAGGTATCCCTTGAAAAAAAGATAAGTGTGGTCTTAGCGGGCTTTATGTATGTTGAACTTCTTTCGCGCCGTACGTAGCCCACCGTGCTAATCGGAGGTGCTTTAAATGGTATAAACGAAATCGACACAAGCCCTGGGGCAATGGCTGCACTTAATCAGTGGTAGAAAGTCCACATTGTTTAGGGCGATGTCAAGTTCATCCATGCATCATCCATCTCGAGGACACGGACTGACAATTTCACTTCCCATAAAGTGGTGCTCACCGCATAGATGACCGTCAAGCGGTCACACGCACAGACAGGATGGAATCGGTATCACAGTGTGGGTTGTCATGGGCACTGGTCACAGGAATGAATTGGAGCGCCTTGTCCAGTTTCCTTCCCATTTGATGGCAGTTGTACCGCCAGCACACTCGATCGCTAACCACCACTAAAGTGTTCCATTCACATCAGGGACACTTGGTGTTAACGCAAGCGACACGCATTGTCCTGAAGGTGGCTGGTCGCCCAAAACGTCGTGACTTTCTTGCCAACTCGTCGAGACACTGCCCGTTTTTTTATTTGTTACAGGACCAAACTGTGAAACGTATTGTGCGTCAAGACGGGGGGGGGGGGGGGAATAAGAAGTGAGTGCATGCGTGAGACACGTGTGTGTGTGCATACACATTGTGTGTATGTTGAAGTTTGTCAGCACAGTACGTAGCCAACCGTGTTAATCGGAGGTGCGATAGTGTGTGGCACCACAGCAATGCAGTGGTGACTAGGAGACGGGGGTTGGTGGATCATCTAGAGATTCACAGGCACTAACATACTTGACTGACCCTCCAGATTTAAGCGGCAGGCTGTCGATGTTCAAACCTTTTTACCGCACATTAATTTTTCAAAGCAGTAGTTGCTACAAGTTTTCTTCTGCAGAATGTTGAGCGAGCGGTACGATTATCTCCGAAGCTCCGTATGGGGGTCGCAGGATTAAACAAAAACAAAATCATCGGCAGCTTATCGCTTCGACCATCGGTAAGGTTGGCAGGTCATCCAACCACACCTGCTGGGCTGCGAGGTGACCACGAAAGAATGGCAGCAGAACAAGTGGGGTTCGCGAACCCGCCGGTGTTATTCGCTCGAAGGTCCGCAGTGGGGTTTTCTTCTGGGTTCTACGATTTCTTTTCACACGAAGCAAAACAACTCATTAATAATAATGTCATTTTTAAAAATAAATCATTATCCAAACAGCCCATTGCAGCAGGACCCTCCTGAAAAAGAGCTTTGCGACTCAGGCTTTCCTGAAGAAAGCACATTATTATTATACTTTTAATAGTGCGGGGTGTATAAACTTTGACATGTGGCACCGATAGCTTGAATGCACACAGTATGGTATACGTGTGTATACATATGCATGTATATGTTTATATACACATTATATGTATATACAGTGCCATAGTATGTGTACGTATACCAATACACATATAGGTCTATATACATATATATTTATAAAGTGACTATAGTCTATACAATAGAATACAGTATACGCATACATATGTATACGCACATGAACGCATACTGTGTGCTACATATTATATATGCTATTCTGCGCGTGTGCATAAACGCCTAATATGCACATGTATGCAATGCATCAATGGTTATCTGACAAATCTGTATACTAAGAATGAACCGTCTGCAGAAATCAGGAGTTTAAAATGCACCCCCCAAACTCAATGATAACAACAACATGAACAAGACAATCACCAAACACATCTTAACAACCCTAACTCAAGTGGATCCATAAAAAAAAATCACTACATAAGACTTTAAATAATGATAAAAAAGACAGAATAGTCCCTGATCCATCCATGAACGACAATGATAATAATAATAAGTCACTTGTGCAGAATGTCATCAATACAAATTGCTGCCTTGGGCAAATGAACTACGTGGACACGTGTTCAAACACAATGAGCAGCTGAACGAGAGAATCGTAATTTCAGCCGAACTGGTCATTGAGATCACGGCCTGTCCATCAGCGATGTCCAGCTGGGCGGCACGACTGGCAAGAACATTCGAACGATGAACCCCACAGGTCGGGAGTTCAAAGTTCAAACCTCGGCCGAGGTCGACCCGGCACTCCACATGCCCAGCGGGCTCGATGGACTGAGAATGACTTGGCGAGAGATTAACAGCAAATGTGTTTACGGATGGACTGGCCTCCACTACGGGAATATGGAATTTCCTCCACTGGCTCCGAGCTGCAAGCCTTAAGATGAGAGACCGCCCCACTGTTCAGTTGAGCGTGGGAGACATCTGTTATTCTCGTATTGACTGCGGGACAAAAGCTTCTCGAACCGTTTGCGTGCTCTCGGCAGTCATCGGTACACCACGGTCGCTGCAGGTCTCTGAAATTTTAACGATCACCCGTCAGCCAAAATGTGAATCTTGGTTGAGCTTCGGCGAATGCAAGAAGTGTTCTTTTTTTTTTTAAGTTCCAACGAAGGTGACCGCAAGTTGCCACGGCCGTGGCAAACGTGAACACAAAACGGTGAGTGCAGGAGTAAAATTAAAAACCGCGATTCACGACGGCACGCACGCCGGGCCGCAACGCTCGTAGCAAGAGCCCACGGACGCGAGCGCATCGCGGATAAAACTGCCTGGCGCGTACAAGCCCCTCTCATCTCGGCGCGCACGAATACCGCAAGGCTCGGCCAAAGAACCCTTTGAGAATGTGACATTACAAAAGCAAACACGGACTCAAGCGCATTCCTGTTTCAATATAATCGCTCTCAGTAATATATTACTATTTTCCTCCTCATTTTCGTCATCACGTTATATAATTAATACAGAAATATGGGGGGGGGCTTCAAAACAAGCCTAACATTAGATAGGTGTGGCGTTTCTATTGACTCGTTCTCAATATTTTTTGACCACTCCGTTATGTATACTGTATGACAATGTCTGCTGCGAACGGCATCACAGCAGCACTCCAAACACTTTCTGTCCATCCACTGGTTGCGTCTCCGCAGGGAGTGAGGTGGGGAGAGGGAGGTGGATGGAGTTCATCAACTCCTCACTGACTCCCAGAGGGAGTCGAGGTACAGAGTCAGGGGTCAGGGGCCAGTTCAACTGGGGTGTGATCTCTGAAGCTCGGATCTCCATGGATTCCCCACCGCCACTGCCCACAACAACCCCAGCAATGCAACGTGGAGGCCCTGAATGCACCATCACCAGCAGCAGAGCCATCATCACCATCACCACCACCACCACTCTATCACCATCATTATCAAAATCATCACCACCACCACCAAGGCTATCACCACCATCACCACTGCCTGAACCATCACTATCATTATCATCACCACCACTACCAGAACAATCAAAACCACCACCACCACTATACCAGTGCCAACGGTGGCACAAATAGTCCAAAAGAGACGTCCAAGTAGATTTGGAATGAGAGAAACAGAACGGTGTCATTCATCATCGCGATCGTAGTGGTTAATTCACTTTAACGGTAATCATTGAATTTTTAAAATAACTCTTTTATGGGACAGTGTCTTACTAGCTGACGTAGACCGACACTAGGGGGAAGTTGAGGTGGAAAATCCATGCGTGAGCGAGTGGGCAAGTGGCACGTAGAAGCACAAATCCGATTTGCAGCCAAGCCAAAAAAGAAGAACCCCTTCACACCGGACTGTGCAGAGTCGGTCGCAGCACAGACCAAAGCGATCCCATTACAAAGCCACTCCCCCCCCCCCGCCTCCAGGAGCACACCGTACAGCAGCTACAAAATAAAACAACACCAAGCCACATTCTCGCCTCGCGATGGACAAAGCATATTCTTCTTTGTTTTTTTTAATTAAAAATAAAACGACAATTTAAATGGGCTGGAAGAAATGTTTGCCGGTAGAGACTTCCTTTTCTGGCTTCAGTGGTCGTCGCGGTGGGCGACCCAACCCTACCGGTTGCGGTTCATCCCCAACCCCCAAGGCCCAACAGGGAGGCCCTCTCTCTGCAACGTGGAGGGGGAGTCACGTGGACGACGCGATCCACCGCGGTGGTTGCTGCCGCGGCCTGGCGACGTTGCCGCCATGGCGCAGATCCCTTCCAGTGCGCGTCAGTCCGTCCATCCGCCCGCGCAGCACAAGCACGGCATCGCCGGCCGATCTGCCGTCCTGCGATGTGAACGCTTTTTAAAAAAAACTATAAAATTAAAAAACCTAATCAGAGGAACCATCCATGCGGCCTCATGCTGAAACGAGCAGAATGGGGAAAGTTGCTGCCGGCGATGGTGGATGTGGTGGTGGCGGCCTGTGAATGCGCCGCCGGCCGATCGTCGGCTCCTCATGCTTGGCGAGTCAAGTTCGTTCGAGGCCGACAAGCCGGCAGCCAACCGGGCCGAAGTCCACTTCGCTCCACACGCTGGCACCTGGCGTGATGCACGCTGAACGAGGGCGTGATCGTCGTGGTCGGGGGGGGGGTAGTGTTCATTGTTCCGCATGTCATCGTCGGAGGGCACGTCGCGCTGTTCACTGCCGGATCGAGGCGTGCCGAGAGCAAGCTGCGCTCTGGCGGGATGTCACTTGCCGTGCCGGCGTGGCGCACACACGCGTACACGCGCGTGTACTCGCGCACCGTTAGGGGTGGCTCGCCGCTCCCGCGTCACATGTTGTAGGCGACGTAGATGGGGTCCAGCTGGTCAGCCAGGAAGCCATCCCGAAGGTGCATGCGCTGTTTCTCCCCGCGCGAGTTGATCGGGATGACGCCCACGTCCACCACGACCACCACGCCCACCTGCGCCACACGTGGCCCAGGAGGCAGCCGGCAAGCGTCATGCGAGGCGTGTCGTGGTGGAGGTGTCGCGCTGTGGGTTCTGTCACGTGATACGCGTGGCGAAGTGCGCCGTGTCATTTGTACGACGTGCGGCCGTTGCTGTGCGTGCCCGCACACCGCCCTGCGCGGTGTGGCGGTTTTTGTTGAAATGAGTGATGGGAGAACGGATGAGGCTGCCTGGGGAGCGGGGTATGGTGCCACGTGGCGTGTGGCGTGGTACACATGGTGTGCCACACATGTATTAAACTAAAACCTATAGACTTTTTATTTTACCAGGTAAGGCCCACTGAGCTATATAGATCTTTGTCAGAAGCAAACCTGCACACAAATTATAGCTCAACGAAGTGGCTTACGGTGTGTGCCATGTGGTGGGGTGTGGTGCGGTATGGTGCGGTGTGGCATGCTGCGCTCCACCCACCAGAAGGTGGTGTTCCTCCAGCGCGGTCCCCGTCACCAGCGGCACGAGATCCAGCGCCTCCTGCTCCGAGCCGTCGAGCTCCACCACGACCACCAGCAGGTTCGTCCACGTGAACACCGCACTGCAACCACCACCGGGTAAAACCACCACCAGGAATATTTGTGCGTGTGAACACCACGCTGAGACAGCCCGACAGTTACTGCAGCTCTACCACCACCATCACCAAAGACTGACCCCGAGTACTAAGTGTGTTCGCGGTGTCGTGTTAGAGGTCAGGGGTTTGGGAGTGGGTCGGAGCGTTTCGATTGGTGGAGAAGGCGCCGCTAGGCAGTGGCTGCCGTACCACTCGGCGATGTTCCTGTGGGCACGCAGCACCGAGATCTCGATGTCGATGGGGTGGTAGCGCATCCCGCGCAGCTCCATCGTCTCGTCTAGCGAGCCCACCACGTACAGCGCATCGTGCCTCTCTGCACACACACACACAAAAAAACAAAGGTCCCCCGTGTACCCTTAACAGACTGTAGGGGCAAGTGCTGTTAGCGAGTACCTATGAAGGCCAGCATGGCCACACGAAGGGGTGGGTGGCCAGCATCCATGCCCACAAACTTAGCACAGTTGGCTATGCGCGGTGTGAAAGAAGTTCATCATACATACACTGATAACGCAAACACGCGCACACACAGACAGACAAACAACAACGGCAGCTGCCATTTGTCGCTAAGCGGCGGTGACATCACCACAACCCCCAGTGCCAAGAACGGCGGACAGCAGGGCCACAAGAATTGGCACCGCGTCTCTGGCAGGTGGTCACGGCGCAGACAATGAGTTGACGCAAAGCATCGCCCTTCTGGTCAACAGTTAGCAAAGGAGATGTTTTTATGCTGGCAACTGGGTAAGATAATAATACATCCTGAAATGCCTTTTGAAAAGAGGTGATGGCGTTGCATGTGTTTCATTGGGGTTATTTAATTTCATGGTTCAATAAATATTACTGGAAATAAAAACAATACACGAATGGAAAATGTATTCCTAAACAAGACGCTGTTGAAAACTCACACAAGCACGCACACACACCTATTCTGCCATGCACACACCCTTCCGCAGATACACGTGCGCACACACATGCACAGGCTCCAGGATGCTCACACGCACGAACGTTCGCGTGCACCCTTCAGCATGGACATGCTCACGCACGCTCTAGGGCACACGAGGAGAGTGAGTGGTCAGCACCACGCCCAGTAGCCTTTTGTCTCCTTAGTGGTAATGTTTACACACCGTACCATTTTGAGGCTGAGTCTATCTAGGGGAGGCCCAGGATGGTTCAGATAATCATCACTAGTGTTGGCCATGAGCGTAAATTAAACTCGGGTTAGGGTGAGGATGCAAACTGCTGGGGCAAGTGCTGTTCGCCAGCACCTATGAAGGCCGGCAGGGCACACACACACACATTCTGACACGCACGCACACGGCAAACATTCAGCAAGAAACGAATGCACACGCAGAGCGTTTCTTATCGAGTCTCGTGGTGACAAAGATAAATATCACAAAATGAAGGTCGTCTTTAGACAGACATTTCCTGAGAAATACCATGACAGCAGCCATCTACCACGCTCGTAACCGACCAATCAGATAAGGTAGATGCTGACAGAACCACCCAGCGTGCAGATCTCCATTAACCCTTTCCCACTCCGAGACGTCTGCAAGTTGCAGGGTGGGTGCCGTTCACCGCTGAATTTCCGAATGCGTGACCGGTTAGCGTTAATTATATTTACAGGCATAGCGCAGTTGGCGCCAAGCGGTGCCACACGCCCTCCCGCATGGTCTTGTAGGAGCCTCGGTACACCTTCCAACCTGAACATGTACTTATAAGTCTCAACCCAAAATGAAATAACTCTCTCAAAATGAATTAACGGTGGCAACGTGTGGAAAATGCACAAACTCAGGCTTGCAACGGGTACATGCGCATGCACAAACAACGACATGCAGGGGCACAAGACAATTATTTCTCCGTATAGCCTTGAACAGACTCTTCGGGCAAGCGCTGTTCGCGAGCAGCACCTAATGAAGGCCGGTCAGCACATCGGAGGCTGGGTGGCCAGCAGCACGCCCGGCCGCCTTTGTCTCCCCAACGCTGATGTCAGCACCATACCAGGTACTCATTTAAGGCTGCGTCAACATAGGGGTAGGCCCAGGGACCGGTTCAGATATTTGAACTCGGGTCGCCGGGTTCGTAGCGCGGTGCGCATTGACCACGACGCCGGCGCTCTCGGCGGACGCACCTCCACTGGCGTCGGTGAGCTCGGTGCGGCGCAGGAAGCCCAGGTAGCCGGTGCGTGCCCACACGGTCTGCGTGTCGCCAAAGCTGAGGCGCGCGCTGAAGTGGTCGGAGTGCAGCGGCTCATCCCCGTACAGCGTGTAGTACCCGCTCGCGTTGTGCGGGCTACTCACCCAGATCTGCCGCGCGCGCGTGAAAACAAAGACAAAGATCCCCCATATAGCCTGGACAGACTGTTGGGGCAAGTGCAGCGAGCACCTGTGAAGGCTGGCACGGCACACACACACGCACACACATTCTGAAACAAATGCACACGGCAAACATTCAGCAAGAAAATAATGCGCGCACACAGAGTGTCTTTGTGGTGACAAAAATAAATATCACTAAATGGTCGACTTAAGACAGACATTTCCTGAAAAAGCCCATGACAGCGATGTGGCGATGTTTACACACCGCACCAGGTACTCATTTGAGGCCGAACCAAACTAGGGGAGGCCCAGGACCGGTTCAGATAATCGTGATTGGTATTGTCCGTGAGCGGGCCGCCGGGTTCGTAGTGCAGCGTGCTAACCACTACACTACCGCTCCCCACTACGCAAACGCACACACAGAGACGCGTGTGCAAAAACACTCGTACTAACGCCCAATATCGTTACCCTGTTAGTACGATTTGCATGGGGCCAGAACACTATACGAGCTTCCCTCGCATAACGCGCGACATGTGTTCCTGAAGAACTGCGCGTAAGTCGAATCGCGCTGTGCGAAGCCTTTTTTCCCACGGACATTTGTGTTATAAGGGGGGGGGGGTTGCGTCAGCGAAGAAAAATTCATTATCATTTCATTATTTTAGCCCTAGATTTACAAAATAGGTATACATTCTATACTTGGTAATAATAATTTTAATGTCACAAAATTGACTTAATAAGGAGTTTAATGGCAAAATACAATAATTAAGATTAACTTTAGGGCTACTTGAACGCTTCCGTGGGCTGCTTCTACTCTCAGGCAGATCTCAGACTCAGAAGAATATTTATTTATACCCATGGGACGCACCTCCCGTGACTTTTTGCAAGGAGGGGGTGGGGGAGGTGGGGGTGGTTCAGGCTGCGGCATGAATACCGTACATGAATGTTAACGTCACGTTGTGGTGACAAGATACCTAAATACACAACATGAAACAAATGCGTTCCCGAACACCGCGTTGACTGCAGACGTGGACACGTGATCTCCCTGAGGCCTAAGCAACCTTCCTTGTGGTTTTGGGGCTCGATGGGGTGGGGGGGGCGGCAGGGACCGATGGTCTTGATTGAAGGGCCGCCATACCAAAAAGTTTGAGACCCACTGGTGTTAACAAAGATCCACAACATAATGGTACGGGGCAAGTGCTGTTAGTGAGCATATATTAAGGCCGGTACGTCGATTGGGAAGATGGTGTGGCTAGCATCACGCCACTACCTCCTCATTTACTGTGCCGGGCTTAATACACACACACACATACAAAGATCCCCCGTATAGCCTTAACAGACTGTAGGGGCAAGTGCTGTTAGCGAGCACCTATGAAGGCCGGAACGGTACACGAGGGGGTGGGTGGCCAGCACCACGCCCGACCGCCTTTGTCTCCCCAGTGGCAATGTTTTTATCCACCGCACCAGGTACTCATTTGAGGCTGAGTCGACCTAGGGGAGGCCTAGGACCGGTTCAGATAATCGTCACTGGTGTTGGCCGTGAGCGGGAATCGAACCCGGGTCGTCAGGTTCATAGCGCAGCGCGCTAACCGCTACACTACCGCTCCCCACACACATACACACACATACACACACATACACACACATACACACACATACACACACATACACACACACACAAAGAAAAAGATCCCCTGTATAGCCTTAACAGACTGTAGGGGCAGGTGCTGTTAGCGAGCACCTATGAAGGCCGGAACGGTACACGAGGGGGTGGGTGGCCAGCACCACGCCCGACCGCCTTTATCTCCCCAGTGGCGATGTTTACACACCGCACCAGGTACTCATTTGAGGCTGAGTCGACCTAGGGGTCGCCCGGGACCGGTTCAGATAATCGTCACTGGTGTTGGCCGTGAGCGGGAATCGAACCCGGGTAGCCAGGTTCATAGCGCAGCGCGCTAACCGCTACACTACCGCTCCCCACACACACACATACACACACACATACATACACATACACACACATACACACACACATACACACACACATACACTGTTTAGATTGTTGTCCTCGCCCGCACGGTTGGCTACGTAGGGTGCAAAAGAAGTTCAACATACACACACATATATAAATATACACAAAATGCAGAGCATGTGAAGCGCATGACCCAACGCAGGCACCCAAGAAATGGCAAGCGTGTGATAACCACGCATTAAGGAGCCATCCATTTAGTATGTACGCATGGAGGGGGGAGGGGGAGGTTAATCCAAATGCGTACGCTTGCGTATGGCGGGTCTACTGACAATGTACGTACGCATAGGAAACGGGCGGGGGGGGGGGTGAAGCCTCGATAGTAATAGAATTTGTCGATATTGGCCTTCAAATGAGTTAGATAGTCTGGCGGTGGACTATCCGTTTGCTTCAACACATTAATATGATTAATCCTTGATCGTTTCTGCGTGGATTAAATATCGGCCGTTTTCGACTTACGTACTAAATGGATGGCCCCTAACGCAGGATGACCCAGAACCTGCAATCGCCGTCATCAAGGCCACAACCGTCCATTCTCTCTCCACTGCCACGGTGAAGGCGTTGCGTACCTCCCCGAGGTGCGAGTCTCCGAGCGGGCCCTTGTTCTCCGGGTTGACGATGATCACGCGCACACCCGGCAGGATCTGTCAATGGCAACAGTCATCTTGTTTTCAACGTCCGGAGCATTGGCAACGGAACCCACACAGCCACCAGGTGCGGGGGCAATGGGGCTGAGTGGTACGTGGCTAAAGGAGGGCTCACGGAGCTCAATTCCCTTAAAGCTATTCACCGGCTAGCATTCAACACACCCCATACAGTAAAACTTCCAGAAGCCAAATTCTCGGGAGCGCACAAGGTCACCGCTCGCAGAGCGTGTGGTAGAGGCATTCAGTGGATCTGTGCCCTAGGGCGTGTACCCTTGCCGATTGCCCTGGCAGCTGTGAACTCAACCTTGTGCTCGGTTTGCTGATGCAAGCCTTGGCCTACACTCAAAGGCCTTGGGCTTTGGCCTACTCTCAGAAGTCTTGGCCTGCTGTAGTAATTATTGACCTTTTAAAATCCTCGACCTAGGTTTCCTCTCAAAAGCCTCATGCATAATCAGGCCTACTATTATTCATCACTAACGTTCCTTTGCGCCTTTTAAGCCTTACCTTGCCGGACTCCATGAGTGGCAAACTATGTGGCGATCCCCTCTCCACCAACCGCACCCTGCCAAGCAAAAAACACAACACGTGGAGGTCAGAGGTGACTGTTGGCATGCCGCAATTCGTTTTTTTTTCGTGTTGAGGTTGTCGTGCGTTCACGTGATTTCACATCCATTGTGGTGGGGTCACTGTACGGCCTCAATATTAGCATATGTTGGCCTCGATACAGGCCCAATAACCCTAATGGCGATGCACCAAATAACTCAAAATGGAAACGAGGAAACACAACACGGTGACAGCATAAACGACGCACGGCTTGGCACGGCACAACTTGACAGCACGCCACATTGCCAAGGCGACATTTTCGAGAACAAACAGCGACGGTAGATTTATTAGAGTGGGACTTGCAGGGCCTCACCTGTCATGGCGGAGTGCGCGCATGTCCACGTAAACTGTTGTGGGGTCCGGTCCAGCCGTGCCCTGCATGAGCACAGCAGTGCACGACGAAGTATATACACACGCACATGTATGCACGGACACAAATACGTCCGTGCAACAGTGTAACTGCACAGGCATTTAGACTGTTCGAGCAAGTCCTGATAGCGAGCACCTGTGAAGGCCGGCACTGTGCAGAAAGGGTGATGTGGCCAGCATCACGGACTGGCCGTCTTTGTCTCCACAGTGTTGATGTTTGCATACTGCACCAGGTACTCATTTCAAGCTGAGTCGACCTAAGTGCATGCAATCTTGTAAATGGTGGTAAAAACATGTGAGATTGGTTGCGTCCTGTACTACCGCACCTCGGACTCACACGTGATCAGCCTTCTTTCTTAAAGAGGCATTTGGGATGCCTTCTGGTTCAGTATATCCAGCGTTGTATGGACAGCTGAAAGGGGATATTTTTTCGTAAAACGTTCAAGTTGATCACTGGATAATTTGAGTTTTGGAAGATGATTTTGACTTCCACAGCTATGAAAAGATTATGACACCATCTCATTACCATACACAAATTGGGGAAAAATAAAACTCCGTGGAAGCACCAAATCGAGTGAATGACTTTGGATGTGGTTGTGCGGTATTATGACGAATGCGATAAAAACTAAAATTTAATCTTAGTTGTCTCCGCAGGTTCCAATTTGGCCACAACTCACGAATCGCAGGGGAAATTTTCACATGGAGCGGCATTTCATTCATCGCTGGAGCGAGCCATTGCACATTTCCCGGTGAATTTGTTTTTATCCCAATTTTCCTATTGGCACCACGTTCACGAAGTGAAGGATCTGAACAGAACTCCTGCAAAGCACTGAGACCCCTCAGGCTGGGGAGCTGCCCACAGAAGCAAATATCGCAGAACTACTTTTAAAATCTCTTTCCCAGTCACCCCGCTACTGGGCAATATTTGTTGTATAACTGCCTAACAGAAATTATTATTCTCAGAGCTTGTTTTTTTGTGTGCCAATTTATAACCACGCTTATATATATAACTCACTGCACTTGAGAAGCTGGTCTAGTCACAGGTGGCTGCGTGGATTGGAATCCAGGATATCAGCGGTACCAGCTCAGTGTCTTTGAGCCACCAGGCTGGCTCTCCTTCATGGATCGGAAAAGTTCTGAACCGTCTCCAGCGATGAATGCCGATGCACGCTCAAGCGGCGTTCACGTTGATTTCACCGACCACAGACGGGGCCCCCCACCACCGTTTAGCAATCATATGGTGGGGGGGGGGGGCGCGAGGGGGGCCAGGGTCACGAGGTGGGGACGCAGTGGAGGGGGCAGGAAGGCGGAGGATTACGGCAGCTGTTAGCAGCTCTCGCTCTCACCACCGCGCACGCAGCCTGCCGCACACAACAAACGCACAAACGCACATTAGCAGCATGGCTGTTGTGTCACTGGACCAGGCGTGGCCATGTAGCCCAAAGTGCACCCAGCCTGGAGAATGAAACGGAGCACCTCCACACAGCATGGGGATCGCGATAGCAAGGCGAGCAGCTGATTTGTTGCGCCCATGATTGATCATGGCCACGATTTATTGGACGGGAAAAGAAAGAGAGGGGGGAGCAGCGGAATAAATGTTGGCCAAGTGAGGGGGCGACAGGAGAGACACAGAAGCAGGATGGCAGGGGACGGGGAGGGGAGTCAAGAGTTGGTCAACTTAAAACCGTACCTGCTCTGCCAACTTCCCCAGTCTGTGAGGCTATAAGCAGGAGGCAAGGAAAGGGAGGGAGGGAGGGGGTAGCAGGGGGGGGGGGCGGTGGGGAGGGAGGAATGGGGGTGGTTAGTGGAGGATAAAGGGGAATGGGACATGGGCATGGCGTGAGGTGGACAGCGGGTGGGGTCACCGAGTTTTATCCGTGGCGTTTAAAAAGTGTGGTGTGGAAAACATTAATGATTGGACGGTTTTGTTTGCCAGTCCACATGGTGGGCGCAGGAGACACACACACACACGTGTGGAAGTGGAGGGATGATGGGAATGCACGGTTGCTCAAACGTCAATCGATGGGTGGTAAGATGTATGATGGAGAAACAAAAATAAAACAACAATAAACACAACACGTCATGGTACACTTAACGATGAAAGATGAGGTCGGTTTGATTGTAAAACCACCAAGAGGGAAAAGGGTTATGTTTAAGAATGTACGTGTGACAGAGAGAGAGATGAGGATGGGGAGAGACAGAGAGATATTGGTGGGGGGGGGGATGAGGTGGCAATGTGCATGGAAAGATTGCAAGCCAGGGATAAAAATGGAGAAGAAAGAAATAAGTCAAACACTTGAAACACGGACAGCTTGGAAGATGTCGGGGGCCGGGGTGAACCCCTGGCGGCCTCCGTCGTGCGAGTCACAGCCCGAGGCGTCGGAAAAATTCTGCCCCAGTGACGGCAGAATCCTTGGCCCGGCGACAGAAATAAACCCCTGCACACAGCTTGCCTCCCTGAGAGGCAACTCGTCTGGGCTGCCGGAGATTTAACAGAAGTAAACAAAACGGAAAACTTAACCCGACCCCCGCTCGTCTTCATTGTTTGTGTGTGTAATTGTAAAAAAAAGGTAGCATGCAAGCGCGCGCGCGAGATTTGAAGAGCGCGGTATTGAAAAGGGTCAACCCAAACTCATGTTCATCTCACGGCGAGACCCCCATGGCACGCGCCGATTTCCTCGACCCGCCCATTGCTGTCGCGGGGCTTGTTCAGCCCTGCCTCACGAAGCTGGTCAAGTGCCCAGGATCAGTTGGATATCACTCACCACTGGTGTTAGCCGTGGCTGGGAAATAAAACCTCAGGTTGGAGTGTTTACAGCACAGTCCATTAACCAATGCACCAACACGCCACCTGACATTTCAGTGTTGAATAGAATTTGCGCGCCGATGTTAAGGAGCTACTCCCATCAATATTTATGATCGCCCCAATTCAACAAACTCTTGCCCGGCTAAAACAGATCTCTAACGCAGCAGCAGCAGCAGCATCAGCATCATCTCTATTTTTAATGCGCGTTCTCAGCACAAGCCTCGATGTGCAGTTCCCAAAAGTCGTTTCTCAAGCGTACGCCACGAACCGGTAAAGTGTTTTAAAAATATCATCGCATCCAAAACCGCGTGTAACAAAGCCAGACAAAAAGGATGAATACAAAATCATAGAAGATAGTAAAGAGAGAAGGTAGAATAGTAAAGTACAGCTACAATAAATTCCATGTGGATTTGAGATGAGGTCAGAGGTGAGGTGCGCGCAGACTCCCGGTGACGCGCGTGCGAAAAAATTGATCGAGAGCAATCGGAATCCTTATCTATCCTGGAGGAATCCGATGAGCTATGAAGCTCTTTTTCCACAGATGTCCAGTAGGGGCACGGGGTCACCTTACATTGAGGTGCAGAAAGGGGAGCGAGACGGCGACATCAACTCAAATCACAGCTCCAGGCTCTCCCCTCACGCCGCTCAGTTCGGCCTCAGCCGAGGAGACCACGGGGAGCTGTGGGGGCGGGCGGCCGGGCGGGGGTGGGGGTCCTGGAGGGGACCCTTAAGACCTGCGGTGGGGGTGGCCCCAGCTGCCTTTGGATGGCGGGGCCCGGGCAGGGCACGCGTGGGCGACGGCTCCCGTACCTGCAGGCACACGGCGAGGTTGACGCGGCAGCCGAAGGCGGTGCTGATGGCACGAGGGTGGAGGCCCAGGTCCTTGAAGAGCTTTGAGAACGACTGAGTGAGGGCGATGCGGGGCCTCTCCTCGGCCACCACCACGCACGTGCGCACGCGCGACAGGTCCACGCCGCGTGCCTGCACACGCCACAACAAACGCAAAAATCCCCCGTGTAGCCTTTAACAGACGTTTGCGGCAAGTGCTGTTAGCGAGTAGCACCTATGAAGGTCGCCACGGCACGCGAGGGAGTGGGTGGCCAACACCACGCCCGGCCACCTTTGTCTCCTTAATGGCGATGTTTGCACATCGTACCGGGTACTCATTTGAGGCTGAGTCGACCTAGGGGAGGCCCACGACCGGTTCAGATAATCGTCACTGGTGTTGGCAAGTGAGCGGGAATCGAACCCGGGTCGCCAGGTTCGTAGCGCAGCGAGCTGACCGCTACACTACCGCTCCTCACAACACACGTGGACACACACACACACGTGCACATCAATAGCCGCGATCCATCCACTGATGGACAAATCAATTCCCAAGACGTTTCCATCTCTCACGGGTTTTGATGCAATAAAACCATCTAGCGTCTACACATGAGTCTCCGAGGAAGACGTTCTCTCGGGTGTGTGTCCACCCTTGGTTCCCACTTCACCGTTATTGTCGACCACTCCCAGCACTTTTAGCGATGCGTCGGGCCCAAGCCCAATGACTATTTCTTAACGGTCAATGTGACGCCTCTAGCTTGCGTGTGTTCACCGGTCCACGTGTTCCCCTTTCGTCTCTTGGCGCAATTCGAAGGGGCGCATTCATTGCACGCTTCCGAGCATCAGCCCCGTTTTCTTAGTCAATGTCCACGTATCATCTCACACGCACGGGCACGTGAAACACAAGAGGACGGGGCGGCAAGGTCTGCCGAAAACCTGACCTTCAGGGCCTCGGTCTGCGCGCCCAGGCCTCGTGTGCACAGCTCCATGGCGGAGTATGAGCAGAAGGTGTCGCGCACCCGGTACTGGCTCACGGCCGATAGCCACAGCGACACATTCCCCTCCAGCTCCGACGGCGGGATCAGGATCGACTGGTGGCCCGAGTACACGCTGCACGCACACGCGCGCACGTACGTACACACGTGCCGTCACAGCGAGCCGGCCACCGCGCAAACGCGACACAGGCGAGCGTCGTCGACGCGGAGTCTGTGTTGAACTTCTCTCGCTCCGTACGTAGCCAACCGCGCTAATCGGAAGGTGCGCATCATAGTGGCAACGGGCGTCGCACGCGGGGGCACGGACCTGCTGATGCACCAGAGCACGAAGCCCAGGCCGCAGTAGGGGTCGAGGCAGACGGCGACCTCGCGCGACGGGTACAGCTCGCACTGCAGCTTCATGGAGCGGCACAGCGCGCTCGTGGCCGCGTGCGACATCTGGGAGGCGCGCACGCGCACACGCATGCGCGGCAAAACGCACAGACGGCACACGCAGACACGCACGCAGCCCGTGATTGCACGCCCCCAAGGCAGACAGGCGTAGTCGTGAGCGAACGCCTATTCAGGCTGTCACGGCACAGCAGGGCACGGTTTAGCCAGCACCACAACCCGGTAATGTTAACCAGCCACGGTGGCGAGATGTTAACTACCTCGCCCGGGATACAGGAGGTCATGGGTTTGATCCCGACCCTGACACCTAGTATGTATTTGGAGTTTGTATGTCTCTCTCCCCGTTGTCACGGAGATTTTTTATCCAGGTCCTCCGGTTTTTCCCTCCACATTTAGAATCAACATCACCCGTTGAGAGTCTTCGGTTGCCATACATTTCCACATGATGATAAGCCACTTCATTGGGCTATCATTTGTGGCCAGGATCGCTTCTGAAAAAGAGCTACATAGCTCAGTGGACCTTACATGGTAAAATAAAAAGTCTACAGTTTTTAGTTGAATCCACGTGTGGCACGCCATGTGTACAAAGTCACGTGGCACCGTGCCCCGCTCCCCAGGCAGCCTCATCCATTCTCCCATCGCTCGTTTCAACAAAAACCGCCAAAAATGGTTTCGTTTTTTTGTTTAACCTACACCCAGAGAGACAACAGCACTCGCGTACGCACGCACGCACGCACGCACGCACCTTGACGCCAGCGAGCATGCCCGTGGTGGAGACGCTGAAGTCGAGGTAGGCCAGGGCGTCCGCGCTGCCCAGCGACACGATTTGTGGCGGCCGCTTCCTCGGCAGGTCGTCTGCACGCGCAAACGTCCCGCGGGCAGCCTCACGCACTGTGCGCATGGAGCGCCGTCGGCGAGCACCTACTGAGTCCGGCGCAGCGTGCGAGGACGTGGCGGTGTGTCCAGCACGGCACCCGACTGCCTTTGTCTTAACGGTGCTTGTTTACAAGACGCCACTGAGGTACACATTTTAAGCCGAGTTGAACTAGGGGAGTCCCATGACAAGGTCGAATGAATCTCGCTGGTGTTATCCACGAGACGTGTTTGCGAGTCGCACGCACATTTCAGCGCGGTGATCCCGCAGCGACCATATCTAAGTCATATATATAGAAGTTTTCACAACTCTTAGATGAAAAGCCTCCCGTGAGAGATCAGTTACCTTCATCACTGTCACTCATCTTCAATTTCACACCGAATCTCAAGGTGCGGCGCTCACACCCACGTGCCCGAGGGTGTTCTATGACAAAATGTGACGAAACTCACGTACGATTTCTTCTGTCTGTGTGCGTGCGTTCTTGCACGTGTGAACGCGTGTTCATGAGATTGTGCATGTGTGTGTATGTGCGAGCGTGTCAGCGCGTGCACTTGAAACGCATATAGCCTGACACAAGCGCCGTGGTGATGTCACTGCCACTTAGTGGCGAATGGCGGTTGTTGTTGCTGTCAGCGCATGTTTCAGCGAATGTGTGAGTGAGCGAGCGAGTGAGCGGGCGAGTGAGAGGGACAGCAAGCGAGTGAGTAAGCGAGTGAACGAGCGAGTGAAGCAAGCAAGTAAGCGGGTGAGACAGAGCGAGTGAGCAAGCGAATGAGCGCACGAGCGAGAGAGCGAGCAAAAGTGAGTAAGCGAGCGAGTAAGTGAAGCGAGTGAGCGAGCGAGTGAGTGAGCGAGCAGTCGTACCGGTGTCCAGCATGGGAGGCCACGTCTTCATGTCGACGGTGCCGCTCGCGTCTTTGGAGCGAAGCAGCTTCATGACGGTCTGCGTGGTGAGCACGCACACCGCTCGGCTCACCTGACCCCCCCCCGGGACCACGGAGGTCACGGCACCACAGGAGACAAAACACGGTGAGCGGTCAGGTTACCGTTCTATATATAGTCCCAGCCGGACGTGGAATCTTTTAATTAGGTAGAATTTCAATTGATCCATTATTTCAGGTTCAGTGTGAAGCATATACATCAAGTATGATGTTGTATTTGTGATAACTCATTAATTATATTTGGGATTTTGAGTTCCAGTGCAAGGAGGAAGAGGGGTACAGGTGAAGTGATGGGTCAACTCAAGATTTCACCCAGGTGGTGAGAACTCAAGAGACCAGGACGTGAGTGTCATTTGCAGGTGACCTGGGTCACCAAAAATGACAAAAGCAAAAATGTAAAAAATACAAGAACGACAACGAAGCAAATGGCAATCGGAGCGAACGCTACCAAAAAGAGCCAGGGCAAAGACAACCGCGTGACACAAGGTAATCAAGGTTTTTTTGGGTTAGATCGTGTAAATATAAATGTGTCCTTCACACACAACCACCCGAGATAGTCAATTAGTAGGGCTTGTCACGTAAACAAAACGTGCCAATGAGCTACTACTTCAGCACCACCGGTGTGTTGGAGAGTAAACCCACATTTACAATTTGAGTACGACGTTTCGCTGGTGATTACGAACATAAATATGACGTAAAATAAATTCCCTCTAACGAAAGTTGGGTCTCGCAATTGGATTGAGGGTGATAATGGGCCTGGTATGGAGGAGGCTCGTGAAGGACGCTGCTACTGGTCAGTTGCAGGCAGTCACCCTCCAACAACAACGGAGGGCAGAAAAGCGACGCTCGCAACAATGAGCGGAGCTCCTGGCGGCTAGAAATGCAGCCAGTTGGCATAATAGGGGGCACAGGTGGTGCATCGGTCAGTCATCTCAGTCAGTCAACCTATAGCACCTGGGTCTGTTCCGTGAAATCCTGTCAGCGAGCCTTCGACACTTCACGTGGCCGCAATGTGCACCTGGCCTGGCACAGGTGCCGTGGTGAGATCACTGTCACTTAGTAGCGAATGGCGGGTCTTGGCATTGGTAAGTGTAAGCAGGTGAGGGTGTGCGGCAAACACCTCGATGATCATCTTGACGGTGGGGAGGGTGCTGGGGATGTTGTGGGGGTGAGGGGGGCGCACGGTCACAGGAACGCAGCCCAGAAAGAGGCAGCCGTAGAACGCCACGATCAGGTCGATGCCTGCGGCCACGTGCGTACCCACACATGCGCACATGCAAATACACGCACAAACGCACACAGCTACGGTCAACAGCTTTACACCAACACACACGTGCGAGTGTGAGCATACGTGTGCTTGCAAGTGTATGGGGAGCGGTAGTGTAGCGGTTAGCTCACTGCGCTACGAACCTGGCGACCCGGGTTCGATTTCCGCTCACTGCCAACACCTGTGATGATTATCTTAACCGGTTCTGGGCCTCCCCTAGGTCGACTCAGCTTCAAATGAGTACCTGGCATGGTGTGTAAACATCGGTACTTGGGAGACAAAGGCGACCAGGCGTGGTACTGGTCACCCACCCCTCATAGGTGCTCGCTAACAGCACTTGCCCATACAGTCTGTTAAGGTTGTACGGGGGATCTTTGCGGGGAGCGAAGGGGCAATGGTTGAATTGGCGACCCGAGTTCTATTTTTGCTCACGACCAATAACAGTGGCAAATATTTGCAACCTGTCCTGGGCGTCCTCTCAGTCGACTCAGCCTTAAATGAGTACCTGGTGCGGTGTGTAAATAACAGCAATGTCGAGTAAAATTCGGCCGAGTTAGGTGCTGGCTGCACCGTCGTGTGCAGCCAGCACGTGTGCCTCATAGGTGCTGCTCGCTAAGAACAGCACTTGCCCCAACAGTCTGTTCAGGCTAGACGGGGGATCTGTGCCTTTGTGTGCGAGTACCGGGCGGGTAGACGAGCGCCACGTGGTCACCCGGGTTGAGCCGTCCCCTCTCGGCCATCGCGGCCGCCACGCGCTCCGCTCGCCGCTGCAGCTGCACGCAAGTGACGGCATTCGCGACGGCGCCCTGTGGGAAGACACCGGGGTGGGGGGCACAGGGGGGCAAGGGGGGCAGGCACAGGGGTCGTTGGGAAGCTGTCGGTGGGTTGTCCCACCTAGAATTCAAGTTCCTGCCGAGGTTGACTCCTCATCATCGTCGTCGTCAATGTCATCATCATCTACTACACTTGCATTATTAAAATTATGTAGGTGTAGTGGATAATGACCACCACCACCATTATCATCCCCATCAATACTGTCGTGATAATCAATATCTATATCCCAACGTGATGAAATAAAAAAAAAATGTGGGTTCTAACGCAACTACAATGTTCATGACATAGATAAGATTGGCCCACGCCATTAGAGTGTGGAGTTTCCATCACCGGCTCGTTGTGTGGACGGGCGCTACCCTCGAACGCGTTTAAGCAGGGACTCATTGACAGAATGGCGATTCTTTCCGTCTGCGTTTTTCAACGTCTCCATCACCAACGTTTGCCTCCATTCATGCCATGAGCTTGAACGTTACAGCTCGCAAATGGAAGTTCGCACACATTGGGTAATTGTAAATAATCCAAACCACAACAACATCAGCAAGTGATCCGCAACGCTGCAACAACAACATGAGCACGATTGCTGGCAAAATTTCACTCTCGGGGCAGAAACGAGTCGGCGGTCGTGGGGCGTTGGGTGCGGACCGCCCCGTCAACGCGCGTCACGCGTGTCCTCGCACGCGCGTCACGCGTGTCCTCGCACGCGCGTCGTACCCGTGCGTTGAGCAGAATGAAGAGCGTGTGGTCGGGCGTGCTCTGTGCCCGCCACTGCAGCAACTCGGCGACGAACAGGCTCTGCGGACAACGGCGGAGAGACACGTGGAAAAACCGAGCAGCGGGGTGAGCGAGCGAGCGAGCGAGCGAGGGAACGCGGGGAGTTATAAAAATCACCCTTCACTTTCCGGTGACACGCGCTCATTGTGAGAATTATGGGCGATGTACTACTACAGCGCTGCTATTTTTACGTTACGAGGTAAGGCCCAAATAACCTGGAATGCAGGTTTGAGCCTGCATAGTGCTTGGTTGGGCAACCATTGTGCACAACGGCCTGCTATAGGCTGCTGCTGCAGGGTTAGGTGATGGGCAGCAGAGGGCTGTATCTCTATGCTCTAACATCTATGCTCAACCGCCAGTCACCGCCCTGCCCGCAATGACCGGTGTGGCGAAGTATGGTCAAATAATCCCCGCGAACAGCACAGCGTGGGGAAGCCCTCATCCAGCAACGGACCACCAGAAGTGCCAAACTCGTGTGTGAGCCGTCGTACGCCTGCGTAAGACTGCGTCGTCGCAGCCTGATGGTTGCAACGGCATGGTCAGCGGCTCTGGGCCCTATGCATGTACACTATGTTGAACTTCTTTCGCACCATACGTAGCCAACCGTGCTAATAGGAGGTGCGTTTTTGCCAGACGTCCTGTAGAGCAGCGAGTTGCAATAATCGAGCCTTGTCGATGCTCTGCTGCACGCCACCATGTTGGCTACATCACGACTCAATAGTGGTCGAAAGCGTCGTAGAGCCTGATATGAAAAACTGCAGGACTCGACTATATTTTGCACGTGGTGATCCAACGACATAAAACGGTGATGTGGCCACGGTAATGTGGAGCGTGCAGAGTGCCGGCACCTTCTTTGCGTGTTCGCTGTCGTCCAGAGGCCCTACGTCTCGCCCGCTCGCTTGCGCAATCCGCTTCCCGGCCACCAAGTTCCCAACCATCACGGAGGCGGGCCCCACCTCTGCACGAGCGCGCACGAGGGGCCACCCACATACGGACGCCCAGCCCCACACGTTCAGCCCTCCTTGCAGGCAGGGAGGTGCATTTCATATGCAGGCTCTCACGGCCAGCATTACCATTCACATTTGAGTTTCTTTTGGGTCAGATCACCGTGAAGCCCTGATGCAAAAATCTTAACTGTAACTGCCCTCCCATTACCCGACACAGCCAATCAATTCAAGCTGTCACGTGGGCAAGTATGCACATTTATTTGGTTTTTATCAGCATATCAATTGGCATACCTTGACAATTTTTATTTTACCTTTTTCTGGAGAATATATCCAGCATCATCAACTGTTAAGAGCTCAGCTTAACATGCAGGCTTTCGCGACCAATATTATCCATAAGATATTTTTTTCTTTGGTTAGGTCGAAACAGGAGGAATTATCCATAATTCCGACTATCGCCTAATGAGGCTGGTTGTAATTACCGGTGAAACATCGTAATCGAATTGTAAATGTTGTGGATTTGCTCTCCAACACACCAGTGTGCTGTACCAGTGACGAATTGGCATGTTCTGTTTACGTGACAAACTTTACTAATTGGCTGTGTTGGGTGGTGGTGGGTTTAACCCTTAAAAAAATATATTATAGAGAAGCTCTCCTCACGTAAAAGAGCTTCCTTTCATCAGCACAAAAACATTTTTGCTTTATTTTCAACATTCTGGTTTTGCTGATACACCAAATCCAATGGCATGTTTGCCCGTGACGTGACAACTTGATTTAATTTGCTTCGTCGGGTGGTGGAGCGTTACAATTGAAAACAGAAGCGGGTGCAATTGGTTGCTCATTTTTGTGCTGTTAGCATCATACCCATGCGAAAGAACAAACATTCCAATCTCTCGTAGAGCGGTACAGACTTACCAATGTCAGAGACCGGCCGGAGAAAGCAGATCTCACAGAGCTACCTCTGAGATCCCTTTTGCCTGTGACCTTGCCTGCACAGCAGAGGGCAGCACTTTCCCATCCGCTCTGCCATGCGAGAGCAGTAATAGCCAAACCGAGATATTTTTTAATTCTCAGAGATGGAAATTGGGCAAATTAATTGCAGAACCCAATTTTTTGTGCGGCCATTGACGACCTGGCTGAGACCATCAACATGCACACGTGTACACAAAAGGACACACGAAGACAAAGATCACCCGTACAACCTTAACAAACTGTTTGGGCAAGTACTGTTAGCAAGCATCGATGAAGACCGGCACGGCACACAAGGTGGTAGGAGTCCAGCACCACTCACGGCCGCCTTTGCCTCCCCAGTGTCGATGTTTAAAAATCTGAGTCAACCTCGGCAAGGCCCAGGACCGGTTAAGATAATCGTCACTGGTGTTGGTGGCCGTAAGCGGGAGTCCAACTCGGGTCATCGGGTTCGTAGCAAAGTCCGCTAACCGCTGTACTATGGCTCCCTAAGCATGCAAGCATGCACACACGCATGCACACACGCACGCACGGGCACCTGGCTGCTTCTGCCGCGGCTTGGGCAGGTTGGTGACACAGGTGTGGGGGCACATGAGCACGTTGCAGGGGTGCAGGGCCCCCTCGAGGAAGCGCTGGCGCGTCTCCGACAGGTGGATTCCGCCCAGCGGCGTCTTGGGCAGCGTGTTGGCCGGCACCAGCGCCAAGCAGTACACGCCCGTCTGGTGGATGCTGTCGATGGCCTGGGGATAGTCGGGGGGGGGGGGGAGGGGCGGATCGGGGAGGGTAATGTGGAGGGGTGGGAGGGGAGGGGTATAGCATGGAAGGGGTGCGGGAGGGGGGGTCAGGACGAGGGAGGAGGCAGTGCGGAGCAGAGCGAGAGAGATAAGAGTGAGGGACGAGGAGGAGGAGGTCACGAGTGAAATCAATAAACCGATGCCTTTCATTTAACCTCGTGATACTCCACTGAGATTTGTTATCTGTTCGTCAAAGAATGCTTGGGGTAGCTACGGTCACGCGAGGAGGAGGTTTATTAATTATTACAACTTTCACGGCTGGGCAATTTTAAAAAGGCGCAGCGGGGGTGGGAAGGGTGTCAATTGCGACGGCAGGCGACTTCCGGCTGCGTCGGCGCAAACAGCGTTGTGGCGGTGTTTCACGGTGGCCACGTTGGGGGCCCACAGGCATCGATCGGCGACCCCGCCAAGGTCACGCAGCCCGCCGAGCCGTGGCGCTGGCAGGGCGCCTCGTTAGCGGCTAACGAGGCGGGCGGGCGGGCGGGCGGGCGGGCGAGCGGGCGGGCGCTGTACCTGCAGCACGCGGCTCATCCACTGGAAGCTGTCCTCCTCCGAGGCGTCCGGGCGCTGCTCGGCCACCACCACGATCCGCTCCTCGTGCAGAACGGTGACGGAGAACACCGTGATGCTGCACCGCGCCGCCACGCACGCAAAAGACAAAGATCCACACCCCCCCCCCCCCCCCGTATAGCCTTTAACAGAATGTAGGGGCAAGTGCTGTTAATGAGTAGCACCTATGAAGGCCGACATGGAACATGAGAGGGTGGGTGACCAGCACCATGCCCAGCCACCTTTATCTCCCTAGTGATGATGTTAACACACCACACCAGGTACTTATTTGAGGCTGAGTCGACCTAGGGGAGGTCCGTGACCGGTTCAGATAATCGTCATTGGTGTTGGCCGTGAGCGGGAATCGAACTCGGATTGCTGGGTTCGTAGCGCAGCGCGCAACACTACCGCTCCCCACGCACGCACAGACACACGCACGCTCGCTCGCAGGTTCTAAAAAGCCAATAATTTTTGTCAATTTGCATAATTATCATGAGAGGCATGGCTCTGCAACTGTTTACGCATGCCACTGGTATCGTTGGCCTTCTATACTGACCAGACATCATAATATGTCAAGGTTATTTGCACCTCAGAGGTACCCCAATGCCCATACAAGCTCACACTTTTAACATTTTATATTTTGCCCCCGTTTGCATGCTATTCGTGCATTCGGTGCCATGGCACGAGGCTACCGTACCTCTCTCAGTGCCACCCTCCACGTTAGGGAACCGCCCACGGAAGCGGACATCACAGAGCTGTCTCCGAGTTGCCTTCTTCAAGTGACCTCCACTCCACACGGTCGGGGGCAGCACTTTCCCCCACCCGCTTTGCTCGCCAATGAGAGTCGCGTTTGTCACATGACAGTCAAACGGGATATTTTTTTTTTTAATTTCTGTCAGCTGGAATTTATCCAAATTGAGTGCACAACAAAATTGAATGTGATGGTGACCGGGCTGAGACGATCGACTCACGCACTCGTGCAAAGCACGGTGTGTGCGCGCTCAGCCGTGACGGCTACGTCGCTACGCGTGCCCTCGCACGCCCACGTGTACCGCACGCTGCGCCAGCAGGAGGTCACGGGACAGACCGTGGCGCCATGGGTTGGCCGACGGACACGGTAGACGCAACACCTGTTGTGCCCACTGCGCCGACTTCGCCGCCGTTTTAGCCGCCCAGCGCTCGGCTCGTCGTTGGGAGTGCCGCTCCTCCGCCCTCCGTTGCACACGCATGCACAAAGACAAAGATCCCCCATATAGCCTGAACAGACTGTTGGAGCAAGTGCTGTTAGTGGAGCACCTATGAAGGCCGGCACGGCACACGAAGGGGTGGGTGGCCAGCAACACGCCCGGCCGCCTTTGTCTCCTGAGTGGCGATGTTTACACACCGCACCAGGTACTCATTTGAGGTTGAGTCGACCTAGGGGAAGCCCAGGGCCGGTAGAGATAATCGTCACTGGCATTGGGCCGTGAGCGGGAAACGAACCTGGGTCGCTGGGTTTGTAGCGCAGCTCTCTAGCCGCTACAATACACTACCGCTCCCCACAGACGCATGTGCGGATGCACACGCACACATGCACACGCACACGCGCGAGCTCACCGTCCGCGGTAGACGAACTTCATGGGCTCCACGGCGAGCGCGGTGGCCACGATGTCGTCCCCGTTGTGTCGACGGCCGCCCACCACCATGAGCCCGTCCATCTTCCCCACCACGAACACGAGCCCGCCCTGCGCAAAGACAAAGATCTCCCATGTAGACCACACAGGCTGCTGAGGCTAGCGCTATTAGCGAGCACTTATGAAGGCCGGCATGGCATACGAGGGGGTGGGTGGCCAATACCACACCTGGCCGCCTTGGTCTCCTCAGTGGCGATGTTTACACATCTCACCAGGTACTCATTTGAGGCCGAGTCGACCTAGGGGAGGCCTAGGACCGGTTCAAGTAAATGTAACTAGTGTTGGTGGCCATGAGCGGGAGCCGAACTCGGACTGCCAAGTTCGTAGCGCGGTGCGCTAACCGCTACACTCCCACTATGCTACCGCTACATACATACATACGTACAAAGGCAAAGATCCCCCGTATAGCCTTAACAGACTGTAGGGGCAAGTGCTGTTAGCGAGCACCTATAAAGGCCGGCACGGCACACGAGGGGGTGGGTGGCCAACACCACGCCCGGTCGCCTTTGTCTCCCCAGTGGCGATGTTTACACATCTCACCAAGTAGTCATTTGAGGCTGAGTGGACCTAGGGGAGGCCCAGGACCGGTTCAGATAATCGTCACTGGTGTTGGCCGTGAGCGGGAATCGGACCCGGGTCGCCGGGTTCGTAGCACAGCGCGCTAACCGCTACACTACCGCTCCCCACATACGTACTGACACAAACACACATGGATGCAGACACGCACACATGCGCACAAACACGCACAGATATGGACACGTGCACAAACAAATGCACTTCCGACACACGGCACGCGCGCGGTCATCTCGGCCGTCGCGGGCTTCGCTGTTCCTGTCTGGCCACACGCGCCGTGTCAATGTCCACCCACAACGACAACAAGTTTGTTCTCAGACTCAGTGGCCGCTGTCCGAGTGAACGAGCTCGCGTTTAGTTTTGCGCGTCCGTCACGTCGCAAGGCTGCGGTCGCTCTGCTGCCCGGGCACGCGTCTCTCTCTCTCTCTCTCTCCGTGCGTCTCTGTCGTTTTGTCCGTGTGCGAGGAACTCACGGGTCCCAGGAATCCCAGCATGCTGCTGCGCACAAAGGGGACTTCGCTGACGGGGACCCCCGCGTCGTCCACCGGGAACACCTGCCGCCCCCGCACGCAAACGCCCGGTTCAAGGGGCAGAAGGGTACAACGCACGACGCGGTGATTACGGTGGTGGTGACCGTACATGTGGGCGCCAAGGTGGATAGATGTTAACTACCTCGCCTGGTATACAGGAAGTCGTTGGTTCGATCCCGAACCTGACGCCTGCTGTACATTTGGAGTTTGTGTGTCTCTCTCCTCGTGGTCGCATGGCTTTTTTTCCGGGCCCTCTGGTTTTTCCCTCCACATTTAGAATCAACATCACGTGTTTAGAGTATTTGGCGACTACTATACATCTCCACGTGATAAGCCACTTTGTTGAGCTATTATTTGTGGCCAGGTCGCTTCTGAAAAAGACCCTCATAGCTCAATGGGCCTTACCTGATAAAATAAAAATTGTTTATATATAGCTCAGTATGAATGTTGAACTTCTTTCGCACAGTACGTAGCCTACCGTGCTAATCGGAGGTGCGGCGGAAGGAAAACAAACTAAATACTAAAATCAGTTCTAAAGAAATTAGTTTTCAATCTACATGATTTTAAAGTGCATAGCTCCGGTGGTTTCCTAATAATGGAAGGAAGAGCGTTCCAGACGGCCGCAGAAGCGCATCTGAAAGCACTCAAAGCGGTGCCCGTATTTGTTCGACGGCTAGCCAAAAGCCGCTGCGAGGATGACAAGAGTTCACATGATGATGGTTTATGTTCCTTGACGAGATCAGCGAGGTATTGTGGTTAATTTGTGGCAAGCCAAAAATGAATTGACGTGGTGCTGGGCAGGGCAGCAGACAGCAGGGCAGAATAGGGATGGGCAGCACTGGGTAAGGTAGAGCAGAGTATGGCAGGACAAGGTGGATAGCGGCAGGTTAGAGGTGGGTACAGAAGGGCAAGGTAGAGCGGGTGGAAATGGGAAGGCTACAAGAGGTGGAGAAGAGCAGGGCAGGGCTGGGCAGGACATGGCAGGGTACATCAGGGCAGGGTAGGGGAGGGTAGAGCAGGGCAGGGTAGGGCAATGGCAGGAAAGATCAGGGCTGGGCTGAGCAGGGTATGGCAGGATCCAGCAAGGTAGGGCAATGGCAGGGTATAGAATGGCAGGGTACAGCAGTGCAGGGTAGAGCAGAGTAGACAGAGCACGGTAGAGCAGGGTAGAGCACGGTAGAGCACGGTAGAGCAGGGTAAAGTAGGGCAGGGTAGGGCAGGGCTGGGCAGCGTAAGAGTAGAGCAGGGTAGAGCAGAGCACGGTAGCGTAGGGCAGGGTAGAGCAGGGCAAGGTAGAGCGGGGTAAAGCAGGGTAGAGTAGGGCAGGGTAGAGCAGGGTAGGGTAGAGTAGAGCAGGGTAGAGTAGGGCAGGGTAGAGCAGGGCAGGGTAGAGTAGGGCAGGGTAGAGTAGAGCAGGGTAGAGCAGGGCAGGGTAGAGTAGGGCAGGGTAGAGTAGGGCAGGGTAGAGCAGGCCAGGGTAGAGTAGGGCAGGGTAGAGTAGGGCAGGGTAGAGCAGGGCAGGGTAGAGTAGGGCAGGGTAGAGTAGGGCAGGGTAGAGTAGGGCAGGGTAGAGTAGGGCAGGGTAGAGTAGGGCAGGATAGAGCAGGGCAGGGTAGAGCAGGGCAAGGTAGAGCGGGGTAAAGCAGGGCAGGGTAGAGTAGGGCAGGGTAGAGCAGGGCAGGGTAGAGCAGGGCAGGGTAGAGTAGGGTAGAGAAATGGCAAGCAAGGGCAGGGTTGGGAAGGGCGGGGCACCTCAAAGGTGTGCTTGGTGATGCCGGCGAGTCCCAGGTAGGAGGTGCCGGTGCAGGGAGAGGACACGCACAGCTCCCCCACCTCGTCGGTGCGGCACAGGAACGGCACCCCGTCCGGCCGCACCACGCACACCGCGGCTGGAGACCAACGAAAAGATCGCCCACGTAGGCTGTACAACGTTTCGGGGCAAGCTCTGTTGTGAAGGACGGAACGGTGCCCCCACAAGGGGGGTGATGTGGCCAGCATCACGCCCCCAGGATAACGTTTGTCACCCCGGTGCTGATATTCACCACATCAGGTACTCATTTAAGGCTGAGTCGACATAGGGGACACCCAGGATGGGTTAAAATATACATTTTTGTGGCCATGTTCGTAACGCAGCGCGCTAACCGCGACACTGCCGCTCCCCACGCACACGTGCGTGTACGCACGCACACACACACGCACGCACGCACGCAGGCAGCCACACGCACCTCCCGGCATGACGCTGCCCACGTCCTGCACCGTGAGCACCGAGAGCTTCTCCTCCGAGTCGACGCGGATCGTTCCGTGGCTCAGGCCGTGCATGGAGAGGACGCCGCGGCCCGCGGGGAGAGGCAACCCGTCCTCGCTCGGCCTGGACGCACGCACACGCACGTACGCACACACGCACGAACGCAAACGCACGCACGCAGACGCGCGCACGCACACGCACGCATGCACACGCACGCGCACGCACGCACACGCACGCACGCACGTACGCACGTACACGTACGCACACGTACGTACACGAACGCACACGCACGCACACGCACGCACGCATACGCACGTACGCACACATGCGCGCGTGCACGCACGCACCAGCATGCCAAGTGTGAACCCTCACACACAGTCACGGCAGTATGGTGCTGTGTGCCGCAATGGCGCTATGTGGTAGTGCGAGTGTGGTAGTGCGAGTGTGGTAGTGGTGGTGCGGTGCGTGATGGTGGTGCGGTGTTTGGTGGTGGTGCGGTGTGCGGCGGTGGTGCGGTGCAGCGTGTGTTGGTGGTGCGGTGTGTGGTGTGCGGTGGTGGTAAAGCGGTGGTAAGGCGGTGATGCGAACCTGCGGATGGCGATGGTGAGCACCTCGGGGGAGCCGGCGCAGGGGCAGATTGCCTCGGGCAGCAGCCCCTTGCTCTGGAACACGTTGAGGAACGCGTCGCATGACGAGATCGACCCTACGCCACGCACACGCACGCAGGCATGCACACATACACATGCAGTCTCTCGCAACACGATCACCACCAACAACAACCACCATTTGCCTCTCCTCTTGCGTACGGCTGCATGCTTAACAACGCATAAGGCTCTGCTCGGATTATATTGTTTCGGTTGATGTGCAAGTGGATCGCTTCAATGCCTCTGTAGAATTTGTTCACGGGGGTTTGTTCTCTGCTTTGTGGCCGACGGTCACCGCCTCCGTACACTCGCAGGGCCAACTCACTCGGATCCGCCGTGAGATCGAATCACTCGCGGGCTTAATTTAGTTGGGGCGCCACGGGTTGGCGAGATGTTAACTACCTCGCCTGGTATACAGGAGGTCGTGGGTTCGATCCTGACCCTGATGCCTGTTGAATATTTGGAGATTGCATGACCCCCCTCTGGTCGTGTGGATTTTCGCTGGGTCCTCTGGTTTTTCCCTCCACATTTAGAATCAACATCACGCGTTTAGATCATTTGGCTGCGATAAAGTTCCACGTGACAAGCCACTTCGTTGAGCTATTATTTGTGGCCAGGTCGCTTCTGAATAAGAGCTGTACAGCTCAGTGGGCCTTACCTAGTAAAATAAAAAAAATAGTTTTTAGTTTAACAAACTGTGGATCATTAAACTCATCACCAAGAACTGGTGACAATGTGATCGAGGATTTCGTGCCAGGCAAGATGCACAATGCGGATGCACAGTGCACTGGGGGGAGTAAAGGCGTGCACGCGCAAGCGTAGGTGTGCACGGGTGAGCAGCGGTGTCTGTTGTATACAGCTGAGTGTGGTGCTGGACACCCACTCCCTCGTGTGCTGTGCCAGCCTTCATAGGTGCTCGCTAACAGCACTTGCCCCAACAGTCCATTGCGGGCTATACGGGCCGACCTTTGCCTCTGTTGTGTACAGCTGAGCGTTGTTGTTGTGTGCCGTTGCGCGACGCGCTTTTGTGCTCGGGAAAATGTGCAACCGACGAGAGTTGTGCACGCGTGCGCGCCTGTGAATGCATGAGTACAGACGTGTGTAAGGCGAGTGTAAGGCGAGTACTTGTGTGAGTGCGGGTGAGTGGTCACTCACAGGGGTTGGCTCCGTCCGCCACAATGAGCATGCGCAGGGCGCGCAGGTTGATGTCGCGTTGGTCTCGGTGTGCCACCAGCGCCCAGTGCATGTCCCGTGACTTGACACACGCCACCCGCGCTGCACGGCACCACCACCATCATCACCAACAGCATGGTGTCCATCACCAACAACAACAACCGCCATTCGCCACTAAGTGGCAGTGACGTCACCACGACGCTTGTGCCAGGCCATGTGCACCCTGAGGCCACGTGAAGTGTCGAACGCCCGCTGGCAGGAGGTCACGCGGCAGACCCAAGTGCCACGGGTCGACTGACTGAGATGACTGAGATGACTGGCTGATGCACCACCTGTGCCCCCTACTGTGCCAACCTGCTGTGCTTTAGCCACCCGGTGCTCCGCTCGTTGTTGTGAGCGTCGCTCCTCCGCCCTCCGTTGTTGTTGGAGGGCGACTGCCTCCAACTGCCCAGTAGCGTCCTTCACGAGCCTCCTCCACAGAGGCCGATCTTGACACGGCTGGTACCAGTATCGGCAAGTCCACTCAGCTCCACGTCCTCCTGTACCACATTACTCCATCTCTTCTCTAGCCCGTGCCGCGCCCGTTTAGCCCCCTCGATCCGGCCGAACAAAAGCTGATTAGGCATGCGGTGGCTGGGCATGCGGGCTACATGACCCAGCCAGTGCAGCCTTGCCTGCCGGAGGAGCTCACTGATGGGACCTTGTCCAGATCTTTCAAAGATTTGTGAGCTTCTCACACAATCCAGCCTGGTTAAACCCAGGATGGATCGTAGGCAGGCTAGCCTAAATGTTTCTAACCGGCGAAGATGTTCCCTTAAGGGGGTACACGTTTCGCAAGCGTAGAGAAGGGAGGGAATGACTGTGGCCGAGAAGATCTGAAGCTTCGTGCGGAGCGACAGACCAGGTAGCTTCCACACAGCGTTACGCAACCGATGAAAAGATATTGCCGCTCGACTGATTCGCAGTGAGACCTCTGCTCTTAAACTGGAGCCGGTCATAAGCACACTGCCCAGGTATGGGAAACTCTCCACTCTCTCCACAACTGCCCCATCACCGATTTGGAGTTGTGGGGGCGGAGTGTCCGATGGTACAAAATACCCAGGTAGGTGCTTAGTTTTGGTGAGGCTGATGGTAAGGCCCCACCTCTTAGTGGCACGCTCCAGTCTCAGCAGCAGCGTCTCCAACTCCTCCTCTGAATGAGCAGCTATTACCAAATGATCGGTATACATAACGTGGTTGAGCAATAGGGGGCCATCCCTTGACCGCACCCAGGCATCGATCAGTTTCTCATTATATCTGTACCAAATAGAAATTGGTACAGATATAATGTTCATCCCAAGGTGAACAGGGAATGGCTCCGACTCCCGGCCATGTAGTTTTACCCGGGCCCGCTCACCATCATGAAGGTCCTTAATGATCGTGAGCAGAGGGTTGGGGACTCCGAAAGCACGAAGAACAACCCAGAGCCCAGGCCTACTAATGGTATCATAGGCCTTGACCAGGTCAATAAAGCAGAGGTGTAGGTCTTGTTGGAATTCCCTACACCTCTGCTGTAGCAGACGGACAGAAAATATGGCATCTGTGCAGGACCGCCCTTTCCTGAAACCGCATTGGGGCTCCGCAAGCCTCTCCTCAGCGTGCCTAGCAAGGCAATGTTGAATAATCCTTTCCAGGACTTTCCCGGCATACTGAGTGAAATGCCCCTGCAGTTGTTACAGTCTGTGCGGTCCCCCTTCTTAAAGAGGGGGACCACCAGGGCATCCTTCATATCCTGCGGAACCCGTCCAGTGGTCCAGACTGTTGTTATGATGTCATATAGGGCAGTCTGTGCACAAACGCCACCCTCCCTTAGCATTTCGCTTGGGAGATCATCTCTGCCCAGTGCCTTTCCTGGTCTCAGACTCCGGATCGCCTTCAGTACTTCCTCAATAGATGGCACCTCAGCCAGCCACTCACAGGGGGTGACTTCTTCCAATATTTGAGGCACCGCAGCCTCAGCAGAGTCATCCCCACTTTGTGCCATGATGTTTTCCTGGCTGAGGGATTTCCTCTCCCCCAGGACCTCACAGAAATGCTCAGCAAATCTGCAAACCTGTTCCTAGGGGTCGGAGATAGGATCACCGTTTTTTTACCCTAATGATGGTAATAGGTGTGGCGCTGCAGGTTACTTTTTTGATGGAGTTAAATAGAGATTTGTGATCGCGGGCTACTGACGCAGACTCCATCTCCTCAGCAATCCGCGACCACCACCCATCCTTGCAGCGCCTCACGGCTCTCCGAACCTTCGAGCGTAGGCTGCGGTAAGCCTCCTCATTCTCTGACGTGGGATGCTGTATCCAATGACAGTGGGCCTGTCGCTTTTTCTCAACCATCCTGAACACCTCCTCTGTCAGCCAGGGTCTCTGGGGAGGCCTGGACCGAGTACCCAAAGCAGCCATTGCAGCTGCATGAGTCACAGTCCTAAACCTCACCCATTTACCTTCGACATCAGGAGGAGTGGGGGACGATGCCAACCCCAGCCGCAAGCAATGATGAAATTCTCGTTTGCAACTTTCATCAGCTAACTGAGACCAGGCCACTTTAGAGGTTGGAATGGGGTCCTGGGTGTACACCCACCACCGGAATGGAAGAATGGCAGGCGCATCTTACAGATGACTAGTCGATGGTCAGAAGGCAGATCAGCTCCACGGTAGGTCCTGGTGTCAAGGACATGGGCTCGCATCTGCAGGTCCGTCACTATGTAGTCCAGCAGGTGTTCTTGCTTGGACCCAGCATGCATCCATGATGTTGTGTGGATGTGTCGATGCCGGAACAGCGTGTTTGGTAATTACAAGCCCATGGGCTGCACAGAAATCTAGCAGCCTCCTACCGTTGTTATTGAGCTGATCTAGCCCATGCCCTCCAATGACTCCAGACCAGGTGCCAGCATCATGACCAACTCGGGCATTGAAGTCACCCAACAAGATGACTCTATCCCGAGGGGCCACTTTAGCCAGCACCTGTGACAGGAGGTCATAGAAGGCATCTGACTCAACGGCTTTGCCTGCATCCCTCCACGGATGTTCGTCTTCGGTGGGGGCATAAATAACCACGACCACCACTCCTCGCCTCCGGTTGATGGGAAGGCGAGCCCAAAGTAGCCTGGGGCTTACAGCTTCCCACACCTCACCGCCACGCTCCCACGCCCCCTTCATTCTTTTGTTCAAAAGAAGAGCCACACCCTGTTGTTTGGCAGTCTCCTGCCCCGAGTAGAGGACTATCCCTCATGGTGGCAGGAGCCAGAACCGGTCCACCAGACCTCCTGAATGCCACAGAGATCCAGGCGGTACCGGTCCAGCTCCCGACAGAGGAGTGGCAGCCTCTCCTCCGCAGTGAGCGTTCGAACATTCCACGTGGCCACACGAAGTGGCTTTTCGTTGTTTCTGAAGGAGCCCCGAGGGTAAAGATTCAATCTCCTGGCTCCGCCAATTGGGGTTTGGCCAGGAGACGTCATAGATGCCTGTCCCCCCGGGGCCTCCGGCACAAGCTTATTAGTTACATATTTAATTTGTGGTTTTGTGGTAATTAATTTAAGGTGGAGGGGTTACCAGCCCCTCGCACCCGTCCAGAGCCCCCGTTTAGCCACTGTGGTGGTCACAGATGCCATGAGGGGAGAGGCCAATCGGAATTGGCCCTCCCCCCACAGCAGTGTCCACGACAGAGCTGCCCGTCTGGCACCGCAAGGAGGTAGGGGGTTGTCCAGCACCACACTCATCAACACCATCGTCATCATCATCGTCACTACGATTATCATGAACACCGTCATTGTCATCATCATCATTACGATTGTCAACACCACCATCGTCGTCATCACTACGATTATCAACACCACCATCATCATCACTACGGTTATCATCAACACCATCGTCATCATCACGAAAATTATCAACACCACCACCATCATTGTCATCACGACGATTATCATCAACACCATCATCATCATCATTATGATCACGACGATTAGCACCACTGCAATCATCACAACGATTATCAACATCATCATCAGCATCTTTATGACAATGAGCACAACTACTACCACTACAATCATCATCACTCAGATTATTATCACCACCATCACTATCACTCAGATTATTATCACCACCAGCACTATCACTATCATCATCAACATCACTACCATCATCAATATAATCACTAAAATGATCAACAACATCATTAAAATCATCACGACCATCATCAAATAGAATAATCATCGTCATTGTCATCGTTCTACACCGCTGAGACATTCGTCTGTGGGCACGGTGGCAGAGAGGTCTCCTGACCTGGTCCTGGGCCACCGGCACTCACCAGCCCGGTGTAGTAGGGTCAACCGACGACCCCCATGGCTAACAATGGCTTGCAGAGCTCTCCTTCCAGCAGTGGATTGGCAAAGGGCTGCAAATTACACTGCGTAACAAATTTGTATTTATTTTTTGTTCCTAGGTAGTAAGTGTTATTTCCTAATTGCTTATGCCTCAAAAGTACAGAAAATTGATATTATTCCCCCACAAACTTTGCTTTTATGACCAGGACAGTGAAATATTGAAATGTACACATTTTCAATGAGAAAACGGGCGAATTTGTGTCTTTTCGATCACATAAAGTCAGAAAACATATGAATCAAAATTAACATGTATTTATACAAAAGTAATACAAAAATTACTACAAAAGATTTAGAAGTGAGTGGATACATATCTGCATTTTTCTGAGGTGGCATCAAGAGGCTGCATGCATCAGGCAGACGCATTTTGCTTTGTCTGCGGCCAATTTATCAAGACAAGAGCGAAAATTTACTCTGTGGAAGCATCTGCTGAGATGTGTGAGGCCTACAAGGCATATTTCGGCATGCCTGTCGGGGATCAAGACAAACCCTGAGCACCTCATTTCACCTGCGAGCAATGCAAAAACACTCTGGAAGGTAAGATGGACAATTGTTGCACCAAAGAGCCCAATGCATATCCGACCAGGAACACAGAGCCAGTGAACTCAAGCACGTACACCAAGCTCTTAAGGCTAATGGTTACTCCGACTACACAATCCGCAAAGCTATCTCTCCAACCATGAAGAAGGACCTTCTTGAGGAGCCTTTCGAAACCATCACTTGACCCTACATTGCGGGGATCACAAAAAAGATCTCCAAAATCTTGAATAAACACAAGATCCAGGTCCGATTCAACACATTACATAAAATCCGTGATCTGGTTCCGTCTGTAAAAGATGTGATTCCGGACATACAGTACCCTGGCGTCTACAAACTAAGTTGCCTCTGTGGTAGTAGTTACATTGGAGAAACCAAACGACATGTCTCGGGACCGCATTCGTGAACACAAAGCAGACCTAAAACACGGTAGGACCAACACCTCGGCCGTGGCAGATCACTGTTATAATTCAGTAGGCTCACATGACATTGACTTCTCCAAGACAGAGGTTCTTTGCAAGCCATCTGGCTACCATGAGAGATCCGTTCATGATGCTATCCACATATACAAACACAGAGACAATTTCAACTGAGAAAATGGGTTCTGGCTTAGCAATCATTGGAAGGATTTGAAACACCATTTCGGGTCTTAATTGATTGTTCACGCTTACGGTGGCTTTCAGACCGCATCCATTATTTTCGTCTCCCCCTCCTCTTTTCCGAACATAGATGGACTCGTCCACCTGAATAACTGCCAAATCGCTCTCCGTGGTGCTAACGTTAAAAAACGCCACTTTTTTCAAAATTTCTTGCTGTGGTTTTCACACCTGATGATGATTGCTTGTGTTGCAGTCGAAACGTCGTGAGAATGTTATTGTTTAATATTTTTTTTATTCTTTTGTTTCCCTTCTACGTGACTTTACCGAAAGAACCAAGAATATGAATCCCTGCAGTCACAAAACTTTAATTAAAAAATTATCAAATTTGTTTAAAAATGTAAATTGTAAAAGTTTTTTATTTTTACAATTTTCAATGTCCGAAATTAATAATCAAAACCATCATGATCACCATGATGATCAGTTTAACATGTAGGCCTATGCAACCAATATCATCCATAATCGCCTGGTATAAAACGAATTGGCATGTTCTGTTTACATGACAAACCTTAATAATTGGTTGTGTCGGGCGGTGGCGGGTTTAACGACACATTTATATATTTATGCGATCTAACCCAAAAAACCTGTATTATGCACCATGATGATCTTGACACACTGCACCAGGTTACCGTAACCCCGCACCTCCCATTAGCATGGTTGGCTAGGTACGGTGCGAAAGAAGTTCAACATTCAGTACATACATCATTGCCAATCGTTGCGTCCATTCATTACCGCATTCACCACCGCAAATACCAGTAACTGCTGCCTTCACCCTCTTCTGAGGAAGAGAAGGCAAAGTGAGGGGCGGATGAGCGATGCTTTACCTTTGTAGGCGTAGACTTTCTGAATCCAGGAGACCGGGTTCACCTTCATGAGTGAGTACGGCACGCAAACCACGTGCAGCATGTTCATCACGCTCTGCGTACCCACCACACACACATACAAAGATCCCCCATATAGCCTTAACGAGTAGCAAGTGCTGTTAGCGAGCACCTATGAAGGCTGGCACGGCACACGAGGGGGTGGCTGGCCAGCACCACACCTGCCCGCCTTTGTCTCCTTAGTGGTGATCTTTACACATCACACCAGGTACTTATTTGAGGCTGAGTCGACCTAGGGGAGGTTCGTGACCGGTTCAGATAATCGTCAATGGCGTTGGCCATGAGCGGGAATGGAACTCGGGTTGCCGGGATCGTAGCGCAGTGCGCTAAACCGCCACACTACCCCTACCGCTCCCCTACACACAACTAGAGACACACAGCAGCGTGCGCACAGCATGACGCAGCGAGCGACGGGCGTGAATCGGTGAGTGCTGCACCTTCACTCAGCCTGGCTCCCTTCATGTCGAATTCTACCCACAGTGCAGCGAGGTAGGAGCTGAGTGCAGCACCCCACATCGGCCGAATTAGTGCTCTGTGCAGCTGCTGTAACAATTGTGCGTTAGACGGCAGCGGCGACGATCGCTCGGGGGTTACAGAACGAGGCTTCGGCACGGAAAAAAAAAACACCAAGCTTCTTCGATGCCTCCTTAGCCACAGGAGTGAAACAGCCGTTCCGGGACAGCGCAGCACGAGGAGAATGGAGAGAGCCAAGCGGAGACGAGAGGGATCGGTGGATCTAGACGAGCGGGATCTGTGGCATCTAGATGAGTGGGATTGGTAGATCTAGACAAGTGGAATCGGTGGATCTAGACGCGAGGGATCGGTGGATCTCCACAAGTAGAATCGGTGGATCCAGACGAGAGGGATTGATGGATCTAGACGAGAGGGATTGATGGATCTGGACGAGAGTGGTCGGTGGATCTAGACGAGAGGGATTGATGGACAGACGAGAGGGATTGATGGATCTAGACGAGAGGGATTGATGGATCTAGACGAGAGGGATCTGTGGATCTAGACGAGAGGGATTGATGGATCTAGACGAGAGGGATTGATGGATCTAGACGAGAGGGATCTGTGGATCTAGACGAGAGGGATTGATGGATCTAGACGAGAGGGATCTGTGGATCTATACGAGAGGGATTGATGGATCTAGACGAGAGGGATCTGTGGATCTAGACAAGAGGGATTGATGGATCTAGACGAGAGGGATTGATGGATCTAGACGAGAGGGATCTGTGGATCTAGACGAGAGGGATTGATGGATCTAGACGAGAGGGATCTGTGGATCTAGACGAGAAGGATTGATGGATCTAGAAGAGAGGGATCTGTGGATCTAGACGAGAGGGATTGATGGATCTAGACGAGAGGGGTTGGTGGATCTAGACGAGAGGAATCGGTGGATCTGGACGAGAGGGATCGGTAGATAGAGACGAGTGGCAACAGTGGATCTAGACGAGAGGGATTGATGGATCTAGACGAGAGGGATCGGTGGATCTAGACGAGAGGGATCGGTGGATCTAGACGAGAGGGATCGGTGGATCTAGACGAGAGGGGTTGGTGGATCTAGACTAGGGGGGTTGGTGGATCTAGACCAGAGGGGTTGGTGGATCTAGACGAGAGGGATCGGTGGATCTAGACGAGAGGGATCGGTGGATCTAGACAAGAGGGATCGGTGGATCTAAACGAGAGGGATCGGTGGATCTGGACGAGAGGGATCGGTAGATCGAGACGAGTGGCAACGGTTGATCTAGACGAGAGGGATTGATGGATCTAGACGAAAAGGGTCGGTGGATCTAGACGAGTGGCATCAGTGGATCTAGACGAGAGGGATCGGTGGATCTAGACGAGTGGCATCGGTGGATCCAGATGAGAGGGATCGGTGGATCTCGAGGAGAGTGATCGGTGGTGTGTCGAATTGCGCGCCCTCACGGTGAGGATGCCGTGCCACAGCCCCACGTCCTTCTTGAAGTCGAGGACGTTCACCAGCGTCTCTCCTGCGTGGGGGAGACAACGGTTGCCCGCTCAGCAACACCGCGATCGCACAACCCTGCGTGTGCAGTGCGTGTGTGTGCGTGCAGTGCGTGTGTGTGTGTGTGTGTCCGTGCGCACCTTCGATGTAGCTGCAGGCCTGCGTGAGTGCCTGGCAGTGGGTGAGCATCGCCGCGCGCGACACCGTGACGCCCATCACGCTCCCCTCCTTGCTCGTCTTGTACTGAGCCGCACCCACCAACCACAAGCGCGTGCGTCATCACCACCACTACGACCATCACCACCACTATCATCAGCACCACCACTATCATCAGCACCATTATCACCACTATCATCAGCACCATTACCACCACGACGATCATCATCGTCAGCATGCTCATCACCATCGTCACCACCATCACCATCACTCTCCCCACTAACGTAACTATCATCCTTACAATTACCACCATCACCTTTGACATCCTCGCCATTACCACCACCACCATGATCATCATCATCATCATTACCACTCGCAATCATCACCACCATCACTGCCATCCCCGGTACTCGGTCGATGATGAAGCGGCCAGTCACCTCAATGTACGCGATGTCGGCGTTCGCGTCACAGATGTGGGGGGTCCAGTCCTTGGGAGCTTTCCCCACGTTCCTCGACTCCGTCACGAACCACGTGAGCTTGGGCCAGCCTGGGGAGCCACACGCAGCAGTGACACACACCACAAATAGCACGCAGCAGTAACACACCACACATAGCACACAGCAGTAACACACCACACGTAGCACACAGCAGTAACACACACCACACATAGCACACAGCAGTAACACACCACACGTAGCACGCAGCAGTGACACACACCACACATAGCACGCAGCAGTGACACACACCACACATAGCACGCAGCAGTAACACACCACACGTAGCACACAGCAGTAACACACCACACATAGCACACAGCAGTAACACACCACACGTAGCACACAGCAGTAACACACACCACACGTAGCACATAGCAGTAACACACCACACGTAGCACACTGCAGTAACACACCACACGTAGCACACAGCAGTAACACACCACACGTAGCACACAGCAGTAACACACCACACATAGCACACAGCAGTAACACACCACACGTAGCACACTGCAGTAACACACACCACACGTAGCACACAGCAGTAACACACCACACGTAGCACGCAGCAGTAACACACACCACACATAGCACACAGCAGTAACACACCACACGTAGCACACAACAGTAGCACACACCACACATAGCACACAGCAGTAACACACCACACGTAGCACACAGCAGTAACACAACACACGTAGCACACAACAGTAGCACACCACACGTAGCACACAGCAGTAACACACCACACGTAGCACAAAGCAGTAACACACCACACGTAGCACAAAGCAGTAACACACCACACGTAGCACACAGCAGTAACACACACCACACGTAGCACAAAGCAGTAACACACAACACGTAGCACACAGCAGTAACACACCACACATAGCACGCAGCAGTAACACACCACACGTAGCACACAGCAGTAACACACCACACATAGCACACAGCAGTGACACACACCACACATAGCACGCAGCAATAACACACCACACATAGCACACAGCAGTAACACACCACACATAGCACACAGCAGTGACACACACCACACATAGCACGCAGCAGTAACACACCACACATAGCACACAGCAGTAACACACCACACATAGCACACAGCAGTAACACACCACACGTAGCACACAGCAGTGACACACCACACATAGCACGCAGCAGTAACACACACCACACATAGCACACAGCAGTGACACACACACCACATGTAGCACACTGCAGTGACACAACACACATAGCACCGCAGAAGTGACACACACCGCACCACACGTAGCACAAAGCAGTGACACACAACATGTAGCATGCAACTGGTAGCACGTGCCAAATTTCACTCACACATGCACACACACCGTGCACACTTTGGTGCTACCATGGTGAAGTTACTAAAAAGACATAAATCGCCCGTACAACCTTTACCAGAATGTTGGGGCAAGTATTTTTTAGCAAACACCTTTAAAGGCCGGCACAGCTCATCAGAGGATGGGTGGCCAACATCATGCCTGGCCGCCTTTATCTACCCAGCGCTGATGTTTACACATGGAAACCATGTACTTATTTAAGGCTAAGTTGACCTAGGGGAGGATCAGCACCAATTCAAATAGTGGTGACTGTAATGGGTCATGAGAAGGAATTGACCACGGGTCACCTGGTTCTTAATGCAGTGGAGCTAACCACTATCGGCCAGAAGTTACTACACACAAACACACTTCACAAATCACACGACACGCACACACGACACGCACACACGACACGCACACACAGCGTCGCTCTCTGCTCGCCGTTCACCATGCCCTACTAAGGTGCAACCCGGTGTCTAACGGTAACGCAGCCTCCTAGCAGGACATCACACGCATGCCCAACTCTTTACCATCATCATCACCATCACTATCATCAACCGTTACATCATCACCATCATAACCACCTTGTATCCGCGCCGCACCCGCCACACATCGCCTCATTTACCGACAGCGACCTCCACCCCACGCAGGCAGTGACCTTTGAACTGGCTGATGTCACCGGTGGGCGTCTTGGGGAGGCCTTTGTAGCAGGCGTCGCTCGTCATTGCCACGGTAACGCAGCAACTTCCCAGCAAGAATCCGATCTGTTGGCTCCCGGCATCCTGCACGCACACACATGCACGCGCACACACGCACGTCAGTACACACACGCAAGTCAGTACACACACGCATGTCAGTACACACGCACGTCAGTACACACGCACGTCAGTACACACACACGTCAGTACACACGCACGTCAGTACACACGCACGTCAGTACACACACGCACGTCAGTACACACACGCACGTCAGTACACACGCACGTCAGTACACACGCACGTCAGCACACACGCGCACACAAGCACGTCAGTACACACACGCACGTCAGTACACACGCGCACACACGCGCACACACGCGCACACACGCACGTCAGTACGCACGCACGTCAGTACACACGCACGTCAGTACACACGCACGTCAGTACACACGCACGTCAGTACACACGCACGTCAGTACACACGCACGTCAGTATACACGCGCACACACGCACGTCAGTACACACGCGCAGACACGCACGTCAGTACACACACGCACGTCAGTACACACACGCACGTCAGTACACACGTGCACACACGCACGTCAGTACACACGCGCACACACGCACGTCAGTACACACACGCACGTCAGTACACACACGCACGTCAGTACACACACGCACGTCAGTACACACACACGTGCACACACGCACGTCAGTACACACACGCACGTCAGTACACACGCACGTCAGTACACACACGCACGTCAGTACACACACGCACGTGGGTAAGCTCGACGTGCGTTGTCACGTGTGCCGGCGGCTAACCGCGCCGGCGTGCGCTGAAGAAGGGGTGTGGGTGGCGCACTCAAAGAGTCAGAATATTCATTCATACTGGGGGAATCCGATGAGCTATAAAGCTCTTTTTCACAGAAGTCCAGTAGGGGCAGCTAAGAACGTTACAACAACAAACAATACAAAAAAAACGCGATAGGAGTGCAAGATGCAAGAAAGGCAACCAAATCATCCAACAGCACACAAATAAAACGAAAGCACGCCCACCTTGCGCGTGAGCGGCACCTCGATAGGCACGGGCACCAGCTCCGCAAGCAGGCAGCCGTAGAATGCCACCAGGAACGCCACCGGGTCGTTGTTTGGGTACACGAGCGCCACCTACGCGCACGCACAAAGGCAACGCGCACGCACAAAGGCAACGCGCGCACACGCACGCCACGTCGTGAGCTTGGGCCAGTGTGGTCATCAATGCAGCAGTGAGGCGCACCGGGTACAGCAGAAGCGAACACACGCCCACTCCGGCTGAGGGAGGGGGGGAGCGCAGACGAAGGTGAGAATGAGCATTGCGAATCGTCGTCATCACTATCGTCATCACTATCGTCATCATGACTATCATCATCGTCGTCATTGTCGTCATCATCATCGTCGTCATCGTCGTCATCGTTGTCATTGTCATCATCGTCGTCATCGCCGTCATTGTCAGCGTCATCATCACCGTCAGCATCGTCATCATCGTCATCATCGTCAGCGCCATCATCATCGTCGTCGTCGTCATTGCGGGTCACTCACCCAAGCGGCTTCACCGAACAGAGCTGCGCCAACTCGGAGATGGTTGTTATCATCGTTGTACACAAACGTATTTATATTTATGGCGCTATTCACTTCTGGGTGGAAGAATCACCACGCCGTGTCGGTCATGAGGGTTGTTTGACCATACTTCACCATGCTGGTCAGTGCGTGGTTGGTGAAGGGGGTGCGCGGAACTGGTTCAAGGATCAGTCGTCGCTCGTGTGTTCCGGGTCTAGGAATTGAACTCGTGGTGCAACATGTAGAGGCGCAGCCCTGCAATGGTTCACTCACGCCACTGCTGGCAGAAGGGGGCCTCCACTAGAGGGAGCTCAAGAGAACCCGTCGAGAGTCGTATTTGGCCTACTCTTCCTCTACTAGACATCTGTAAAAAAAGAGCTTTGTAGCTCATCCAGTAAAAACAACATTTCTGATTCTGAAACGTCTTTGAAGACGTGGGAGTACCCACACTTTACCCCACCACGCGCGTCCTGCTGATCGATTCAATGCGGTGCAACCCGTTGATGCTGCTGGGCAGAGGGAGGCAGTGGTGGGGTGTCGATTTAAGAATCTTGCCCCATTGTTTCAACTGCCGTGTCGGGAGATGGAATCGAATCGGTGTCCTCTGGATTGCGAGTTCAGCGCGCTGGGCAGAGGGAGGCAGTGCTGGGGTGTCGATTTAAGAATCTTGCCCCATTGTTTCAACTGCCGTGTCGGGAGATGGAATCGAATCGGTGTCCTCTGGATTGCGAGTTCAGCGCGCTGGGCAGAGGGAGGCAGTGCTGGGGTGTCGATTTAAGAATCTTGCCCCATTGTTTCAACTGCCGTGTCGGGAGATGGAATCGAATCGGTGTCCTCTGGATTGCGAGTTCAGCGCGCTGACCGTTACACCGCCACTGGGAGCTCTCTGGCATGTCTGTATGCACTCATAATAGCAGAATAATCCCAGGGGGAGGTCCAGGCCTGGTTCAGACACTCACGGAATCCAGGTCACACGGTTCCGGGCGCAGTAAGCTATGGACCCTGTGACCACACGCTCCTCACACACGCACGCACATATGCACGCAGCACGCACAAACACACGCACGCCGGATCCCTGCGGCCACTCCATGACGATGTTCAGGACACATCATCAGCACACTCCTGTACACTGAGGCGACGTCATTATTCCACTTCCACGATCGACCCAACCGGGCTCGAGCAGCGGTGCATCGGTTAGCTCCCTGCGCCATGAACACGGCAACCCGAGTTTAATGCCTGGCCACCACAGATCACATCGCTGGAAAGTGGGTATCCCAACCGAATGGGGTGCTCCCCGAGCCCGAACTCAGCCTTCAACGAGTGTGTAAACATCAGCCCTCGGGGATGGCAAAGGCAGCCGGGGCGTGGGGCTGGCCACACCGCACCCTCGCGCCCTGCCCTGGCCTTACAGCACTTGCACCGACAGTCTAGAAAGGCTCCACAAGGGTGGACCTTTGTCTTTGTTTGAGTGGGGGGGCGCGGCGCCCGGCTGGGTGCTGCGCTCGCCTTGTCTCCGGGCTTGAGCAGCGCCTCCTGCTTGCCTCCCAGCTTGTGCAGCAGCGTGTACGCCAGCTTCACGCTCCGGCTCCACAGCTTGCCTGGGCGTGCACACCACAACGATTGTCCACACACCACGTGTGTCCACACACACCACGTGTGTCCACACACCACGTGTGTCCACACACCACGTGTGTCCACACGCCACGTGTGTCCACACGCCACGTGTGTCCACACGCCACGTGTGTCCACACGCCACGTGTGTCCACACGCCACGTGTGTCCACACACCACGTGTCCACATACAACGTCTGTCCACACGCCACGTGTGTCCACACGCCACATGTGTCCACACGCCACGTGTGTCCACACGCCACGTGTGTCCACACGCCACGTGTGTCCACACACCACGTGTGTCCACACACCACGTGTGTCCACACACCACGTGTGTCCACACGCCACGTGTGTCCACACGCCACGTGTGTCCACACACAATGTCTATCCACACACGTCTGTCCACACACAATGCGTGTCCACACACACGCCTATCCATACAGTCTGTCCACACACACGCCTATCCATACACAGTGTATGCACACACAAGTCACTTAGATTACCATTTTACAAAGCACATCGCTTCTCATGCACATTTGAAAATTGCACCTGAGAGACAAACAGGAGGAACACGTGAATTACAGAACATACGCATGTATCTATGCAGACCTGGATAGGACACATCACCAGATAAGGCCCACTGAGCTAAATAGATCTTTTTCAGAAACGACCTGGCCACAAATGACAGCTCAATGAAGTGGCTTATCACGTGCAAGTTTAAAGCAGCCACATACTCTAAATGTGTATGTATAAATGCGGAGAGAAAACCAAAGAACCCGGACAACAATCCATGCAACCACAGGAAGAACATGCAATCTCCAAATATACAGGCGTCAGGGTTGAGATTGAACCCAAGACCTCCTGTATAACGAGACGAAATATATATTTACACATCAAGTTATATCCTATCCACAAGATATATTGTTGGGAAGGATGGGTGAATTTGTACCTGTTCTATCAACTTCTCAAACATTTTCTTTTAACAGGACGATCGCCACTTTATTTTAATACAAAAAATGAATTGGAAAGCTGCGAATGGCCGGCAAAAGAATTCCATTTCAAGCAACCAGACCGCTGAGAGAGAGAGGGGTGGGGGGGGGACACTCAAGAGGGTGCCCATTGTGAGAGATGCGGTGATGGAATCAGCTTGTGCGCAGGAGATGGGCGAATGTTTGCATCACGAGATTGTGAGGATGGCGACTGCTTGGGGTGGAGCCTCCATCCGGCGGTAAATAGATCACGGCTGATGATGATGGTGTTGACAAGGACACCGTGGGAAATATTCATTGACTAAAAGGTCAGCGATCTGAACCGGCACCGCTGAAGACCTGGGTTCGAATCCAGGCAGCCACCTGTGATGAGTTGATGTTCATAGTCCAGTCACCAACGATTGTGAAAAAATACCCCATGACATTTACTTTAGTTTTGCACTTCATTTGACTAAATTTCAGAGAAGTGAGATAACAGATTGACTCACGTGCAACGAATATCACTCTCAGGGCCATGGCATGTGGGAAAGTGCTGCCCCCTTAGTGTGCGGACCAGAGGGCACTTAATGGGATCTCAGTAGTAGCTCTGCGATATCCACTTCCAAGGGCAGTTCTCTAACAATACGGGCTGCATTGTGCTGTAAAATATTCAAATAGATTATTCATCTCATAACGATGTCGATAGCACAATCAACTTGGGAAAGGAGTTTTTAGAAACGTCAGGGTTCGTGAGTGTGCATGCTCGTGCATGTGAGCGTGCGAGTGAGCGTGCGGGTGAGCGTGCGGGTGAGCATGAGTGTGGGTAAGCGTGCGCGTGAGCGAGCGTGTGTGCGAGTGACCATGTGAGTGCGTGAGCGATGGCGCATGCGTGGCGAACGTGCGTGCGAGCGTGCGAGCGAGCGTGCGAGCGAGCGTGCACGCGAGGGCCGCACCGTAAGTGAGGGTGACGGTCGGCTTGCCGGCCGTGTCGAGGGCGGTGAGGCACGGCATGCGGCCCGACGTGGTCCCCCAGCGGTGCAGCGCTGCCTCCAGCGCGGGCGGCCACGCCGTGACGCCGGCGCCCAGCGGCTCGCCGCGTACCACGCTCGTCATCGCGCCCTCGGGCCGCGGCTGGTTCGGGTCGGCCTGCTGCACTGCTCACCGCCGCACCATCGACGCCGCCGACACACGCGGCTGTCACATTTCACGGAAATCGTTTTCTGGGTCGCCGCTACCCGCTAATACCGCTGGCACCTGTTGTGACCCCGCTGGTACCCCGCCGGTGCCCGCTAATACCCGCTCCCGACCGGAGCGGGTGGGCACGTCGCGAAGCAACCACGGCCACGGTGAGAGGCGTACTGGACGCAGTGTGACGGGGCGCAGAAATATTTTCAGGCTCGGCAAGCCAGACGTTAATTTATTCGTCATGCGTAGTCAGCGTGACCTCTTGTGACAGCGTTCGCGTAAAATGCTCTTGCTGCCGTACACCGGCGTGTCTCCAGTGATTTGTTTGATCCACGGATCACGGGGGGGGGAGGGGGTTGGAGGGGGGGGGGGGGTGGCGCCATTCCTTTGAGGACCGCAGTCAACTTCTGAACGTGACCCAGACAGGCCCCGGCTGAATGTAACGGCCCGCGCCGACGCATTCGGCCCCGACGGCGATCGCGGAGTCCAAGCCGTGACGCAAAGTGAGGCCGCTCTTGCGACGGTTCATTTCGTCCGAATACTCCAAAGGCATCGTTTTGAAACCAGGTGCCAGCTCACTGAGAATGAACGTCTCTTTATCAGGGGATACATAATATATCAGCAAAAGACAGATAAGCACAAACCTTGACAAACTCTGCAAAACATGACTAAAAGCAAATTAGTGACCATCACCGTTTAGAAATTGTCCGCCTCCATTGTTCTCTATGAGGTCAGTGACATTCAGCCCTGGCGGCTGCCATCTCTCTCCTCTCTCTCCCTCTGTATCTGTCTCTCTCTCTCTCTTCATCTCTCTCACTCTGTCTCTCTCCCTCTTTGTCTCTCCCTCTTTGTCTCTCCCTGTCTCTCTCTCTCTGTCTCCCTCTCTGTCTCTCTCCCTGGCTGTCTGTCTCTCTCCCTCTCTCTCTGTGTCTGTGACGCGCGTGAGACCGATGCCAACGTCCGCTTAAGTAGCGATTCTCCACCTACGTGGCACGGTATACGCGACCGCGAGGCCGCGCTTATTCGGTTTCATTCACACACCTCTGAGATGGCTTTTTTGTCGCAACTTTTCTTCAATTTGTATCTGAGCACCAATTATATTATTACTTCTTGTCTATCCTGTTTGCAGTGACTTCTGGAGTGGGTTTCGTTTGAGCTATTTTTTGTTGTTTTTGCTCCGGTTCATTTGCACGTTCCTTCCCTCCCGACCCTCCCTGCCGCTGGGCCCTGCAGCTGCCGCCGCTGCCGACGGCCTCGGGCTGTGGTCATCTTCGTGACAGAGCTCAAGGGAGTGCTGATGACGTCGCCGCGACACAACAGGCGGGGAAGGGCAACGGGGCTTGCCAATGCCAAGTCCACATGTCAATCGGCGACGACCGTGACGTGATATACCCGGCTCGGTGATCAGCTCCCACAGAGCCTTGCACTCGTTGCTGTAGGAATTAACGTCCAGGATTTATCTTGATTTTAATTATTATTCTACTAGGTAAGGCCCACTGAGCTATGCAGCTCTTTTTCAGAAACAAACTGGCCCCAAATGATAGCTCAACGAAGTGGCTTATCACGTAAAAATGATAGCAGCCATATACTCTAAAAGCATGTTGACTCTAAATTTGGAGGGGAAAAACCGGAGGACCCAGAGAAAAATCCACACGATCACAGGGAAAACATACAAATTGCAAATATACAGGCGTCAGGGTCGGGATCGAACCAACGACTCCATGTAAACCAGGCGAGATAGCTAACATCTCTCCACCATGGCACCCTTCTCGCCACCGTGGCAAGGAGGAAGTGAAGTCACGTTCGTTTGGTCGTTCGCTTGTCGCCCAACACTTCTCTAGGCCCGCCAAGACGTTGCGCGAAACGAAGCGAGCGAGACTTGAGACAAACACCTCGCCATAATCCCCCTGGGGGTCATTAAAATAGGTACCACTTTGCGTGGAAGTCTACGGTGGTTGTAAACGGGAGATGAGCACCGCCCCAATGGTCATTTGAGACAGAAAGCCACTTTGATTTCACCACGCTGGTCGGTTCGGGTCGGTGAGGGTGGGGGAAGTATACAAGTACAGTGCTACCACAGATTTCGCTACACTGCCCACCCACTTAGCCCCACAGCAGCCTACAACACCTGTTATGCATGGCAGTCACCCATCCAAACGCACGCTCGAATCTCATCACGGCAAAACAACTGCAAAGCACTGCCACATGGTGGATGGGTGGGTGGTGGTGCTGGTGGTGGTGATGCTGGTGATGCTGGTGGTGGTGGTGCTGGTGGTGCTGGCGGTGGTGGCACTGGTGGTGGTGGTGGTGCTGGTGGCGCTGGTGCTGCTGGTGGTGGTGCTGGCGGAGGTGCTGTTGGTGGTGGTGCTGGTGGTGGTGCTGTTGGTGGTGGTGCTGGTGGTTGTGGGGACGGTGCTGGCAGTGCTGGTGGGGGCGGTGGTGGTGCTGGTGGTGCTGATGGTGGCGGTGGTAGAGTGGACGGTTGCCTCGTCTCACCGTCGAGGAGCTCCTCAAAGTCCTCCACGAAGAACTCTCTCAGCGGCGGTCGCTTGGGCCGCTTGAGCGTGTTGAGCAGCTGCTGGATCTTGGAGGAGACGCGGCTGCTCACGGGGACTCCTGCCGCAGTGGGGATAACAGAGGACCAGTTCAGAGGTCAAAGGCATAGAATGCGGTGAGAGAATGGAATGGATTTGGATGGGGATGGAATTTATCAACCAAATGCTTTGGATTGAGATATTATAAGGCTCTCGGGCGGTGACCCCATTCAACTTTGATGCCCTCAATTTAACCACATAGGATCGCTCTGCTGGCTCCCAATCTAACCCTGGATGAAATTCAGATCACGCTCACCATCTTCAAGATCGTCCATTGACTCGCCCCTGCCTACTTTTCCCCTCTCATCTCACTCTACTCCCCTCTGCCTATGACCGACTCGCCTTCCCTCTCTGCAACAAACACGCCCACCGCTTCTGACCAGCGTCTTCACATGCGGTCACATTCAGACGCGACACAAATCTAAAATGCATTGGATTGTGTTCAAGTCAAGTACACGATGGCATTCGTTATCCGGTGAGACCTGGAAGCCTGTTACGTTTGTGCAACTTGGGTTGCAGAAGTTTTAGAGGTTTTCGGTGGCTGCGCCGAGAGTCTGATGCAGCAGTGGAGTGAATAAAAAAAACTGGGATTGGGCCATCAAACGTATGACACACTGGCCCATAACGGCCAACTTCTGCGACTGCCGCTCGGTTGGCCAAAGGGGTTTTAATCGACCGGTCAACAGATTTCCCAATCCTATACGCAAGCCACGTAGTTTACTAACAGTGGTGGTCCATAAGAGAGACCAGTCTCTTACTTTGGCTCAGGGCCAAGACAAAGATCCCCCGTATGGAATGAACAGACTGTATGGACAAGTGCTGTTAGCGAGCACTGATGAAGGCCGACATGACACACGAAGGGGTGGGTGGCCAAGCACCACAGCCAAACCGCCTTTGTCTCCCAAGTGCCGATGTTTACACACTACACCAGGTATTAATTTAAGGCTGAGTCAACCTAGGGGATGTCCAGGACCGGTTCAGATATTCGTCACTGGTGTTGGCCGTGAGCGGGAATCAAACTCTGGTCTCCAGGTTCGTAGCGCAGTGCACTAACCGTCACACTACCGCTCCCAACTATCACACACAGGCGCACGTGCAACGCAATATGGTTTAGATTTACACAGCATCCCACAACGTGACTGAACATTGCAACTCGATATCTGTTACCGACACCGAATTGGGGAGGGTGGGGAGGGGCTGGGTGGGGAGGGTGGGGAGGGGCTGGGTGGGGAGGGTGGGGCTGGGTGGGGGGTGGGAGAGGTGGGGCTGGGTGGGGAGTGGCTGGTCACCCCGTGGTGCCCTTATAAAACTCAACGTTTAACCTACTCACGCCGGCTTGTGCCCGTCCTCACAGTCGGGCATATTTGCGGAATACACCAAGTGCCGCCGTTGATCCTGGCCATTGACCGAGCAACCCAACGTTCCTACCAGCACCCTCCGCAGGAATGTGTTTCAACAAAGATCTGCTCTGGCAATTGCACGCCCCCGTTTGACGGGAGCCGTGAAGCTCAACTTTTACAATACGATAACACCAACAACAACAACAACAACACACAAGAGGGGATCATTCCTCTCCTCTGGCCACGCACACACCAGGCGACACACAGGCCAAGCCGCCACGCACGGCGACGAGACCGCAGCGATCAGCGACACTTACGCAATTTAAACCTCGGGCTTAACGCACCGGTGCCGAGCAGCAGCCTACACTCCGAGGCAAGACGCCGCAATAGGACCGTCACCCCATGTCAAGCAAAATCAGTTACAAGCAGCCGGGTGGGTAGGAGCGATGGGCAAAAAAAAATAATTGACAGCCGATCAACAGCACTCATCGTTATGATATTCGTTTAACCAGGAAAGCCTCACCGAGTCCCAAGACTTGTTCAGGGGGTTCCTCCATTGAGTGGGTGGATACATTTGGGAGAGAAGCTACCGTGCGACACTCAAGAGCTCTCTGCAGATGGATTCAAGGTCAAGTGCTGAACTGCCATCTCCTGCCCCCCCCCCTAACAGTCCGCGCCTACGACACCTGATGAGTCCCATGCAGTCGCCCAATCCCAAGTACAAAACCTGAACCAAACCGGCTTATGGCTTCTGCAATATACATTGCAGCAACATCCACAGAGTTGTGTCCCAGGGGCGGTGTTAATAGCCACGTGTTGACCACAGTGGACACCGCGTGGTTGACACAGGACCTGGCGAAAAGGAATTAAATGTAGCCCCCCCCCACTGCCCCCGTCCAATTCATCCTCGAATGGCATCTGGCACACTCGGTGGCTCCTAACGCCACCGGGTGTGCCACCTCCATAGCCAAAAGGATGCCTCGCCGCAGTAAACGGATAATTGCATTCCGCTGAACGAAGTGTTTACCAGCTCGTTTAAATTAAACGAGCCCCCTCGGTTTTAACGACACAAATACACCGCCCCCCCCCCCCCCCCACCTACCCCCACCCCCAAAACAAAAAAAAGCCCATAAACGATCTCATCTCTTCACTCTTCTCTCGCCTCCTTTTTTATTAGTTTTTTTTTATTTGTCGAGGCAGCGAACGCCCCCCCCTCCCCCCCCGCGTCTTGCACGCCCGCTGCGCCGCGTCCCTTCCTGGGCCGCCCGGCCGATCCTCCCCATGCCTGCCGTAAACAAGCGGCAAGCGCCTTTACAGGGGGCGCTCGGGGCGGGGGGGGGCGCTCGGGGCGGGGGGGGGCGCTCGGGCGGACAGGAAGGAGGGAGGGGGGGGTCACACTGTTGTATTGTTAACCGTGGCTACAAGCTAATGTGGGCACGACATGGACACATTATTTGAATAATAACGATATTAGTAACAAAAAATGTCCAATATCCACTTGACGAGAAACTACTTTTTACGGCCCATTCATTAAGTTATTACACGCGTGATATGTATGTAAGCGCGTGCGTGCACCTGTGAGCATGCGCGCATGTGCGCATAAAGATGCGCGCGTGCACGTGCGGCAGTTGCGTGTACGCGCGGACAGGTGTGTGTACACAAGTGCATGCGTGTGCGTGCATCCCCACCGTCTCCCGTCTCCATGAGTTGCGCGTTGCCCAGCTGACGCGGGAGACTGCGCACGGACGACACCTGCACCCGCTCCACGCAGGGGAGCCGCTCGGGAGGCCCGTGGGTCGCCACGTCTGGGGGGCCCTGGGGGGCCTCTACTTTGGAGCGGGAGGAAAGTGAACCAGGGGGCGGGGGGGGGGGGGTGGGGAAATTTGGTAAAAACGATCTGGGATGCGCAGCGAAAGAATATTCAATGAAGATCAAATCAGCCGACGGACGAATTGATAATTCATCGTGCACGAGCGACCGGCGCGTTCTGGGTTTGGTGCGCGGCGCAAACCACACAGGGCGTTGGAGAGATGCGGTCCACGCGACCGGCAGGACGGTGCTAATCACGGCTCTTGCATTCGCCAGGCTCAGCAGTGAAGCTCAGAAAAACGGGCTTTGACTCGCCGTGACCCCATGGTCGCACGGCACGGCCGACAACTCGTCACGATTCTCTGCACAGCGCTCGTGACCAGCGGACGCTCAGTTCGACTGGACACTCATCATGCCCCTGGGAGATGGCGACGATATGGGAGGCATTCATCCAGCAGTGGACTCTCACGACTATCGTGTCTGCTGTACACGCATTCCCACCGCACACTTTCTCGTGTGCCTGCACACCAGCGATGCAGTAGCACGGCTGACATGGGTCCTGATGCAAGGAATGAAATGGGACCCCTCCCTGTCAAGTTTCCCCCCAACTCTCTTCGTCGCTTGGCGCCAGGGGTCGCTCCGGCCCGTGGGCCCCCCCGGTTCCAGGCGCGCCGCCTGCACGCTCGGCAATGACGCCACCTTCCGGACACTGCGTCTGCAAGGAAGCGGGAGGAGCGAATGACCCACCTATGTGCAAGCAGCCGACGCCATCGGCGAGGTCCTCCACGACCGCTTTATTGGCACCGCGCCCCCCCCTGGGTGACGCCTGTTTCCTCTCCACCTCGTCGTCGTCGTCGTCATCCACTCCCTCAACGATTTCCCCATCCCCCACCACCTCGCCTCCATCTCCGCCGCCACCGCCACTGCCTCCGCCGGTGTCCAAACCGCTGGGGCCGTCCCCGGTGCCGGGGCTGCAGGAGGACGCTCGCGACGCCGTGCTGGCGGTGACGGAGGACGAGCGCGCCGAAGAGGTGGAGTGAGCCGAGGACGAGGTGGATGAGGAGGCGTGGAGCGTAGCGGAGGTGGTGGCGGCCGCCGGGCCGAGGCTACCCTGGCTCGAGGAGGGGCGGCACCGCGCCCGCGAGTGCGACCGCGAGCGGGAGCGCGAGCGCGAGCGGCGAGCCGCCTCCGCCGCCGGCAACGGAGGAGGCGGCCGCCGGGAGCCGCCGCCATTGCCGGCGCCAACAGCGCCGCCGCCGCCCCCCGTCTCCTCTCCGCCGCCCCGGCTGCTCCGGCTGCCCCGGCTGCCCCGGCTGCCCCCGCTGCTCCCGCGCTCGGCGCGCCGCCCGCCGCTGCCGCTGCCGCTGCCGCCGTCTGCCTCCTCGTCCGACGATGTGTCTGCCGCGGGCAATGGGCGCCGGCGTCAGAACGCGGAGAGGGAAACCGGCGCCACCGAACGCGAACTGCGGGAGCGGTGCAACTCGCTGCGGCAAACAGCAGCTAGCCAGACGGTTGTTGAAAATTGAGACTCATCCTGGTCTCTTGCATTCTAAAACTAAAATTTAACTAAAAATCTAAACTCAGTGATTGACAGCTACACCGGTGCTGGGCCTGACACATCACCAAGTTTTATCGTAAAATAAGGTCACACAACTACAATGACCGACACAGCCTGCGGAAGGCCTTCATCCAGCGGTGGATATAAAACAGTCTGAACATTACTTTTGTTATTATTAACTTTGTTTAAGAGGAACTAATCGGTGACATCTGAATTAGTCAAAGGCCACCTTCTTCACCAACCTAATGAACAAAGTGTACGGATGTATGTGATTTAACCTGTCCGGCTGCTTGTTCTGTGACTTGGAACGCGAGGTCCACTCGCCCGCACCAACGCGCCGATGCGCAAAGCTTCCAAGCCAGAGGCCATCAACAACACGGCTCCCGGTCGGCAGTGCGTATCGTACAACCGGACCGCAATCGCAAAAATCGCATCGTTGCTGTCGCGAGACTACAAACGCCTCGGTATGAAACCACGGTGGCCGTAAAGTCTTGCACTACGTAGTATTTTATGGTAATGCGTCATTGTTCGGCCTTTATCAGTACACTGCTGGACAAAGGCCTCCCAATGCCGTTGGTCACCATGCATGTCAGTGCCGGTCGGTGAAGAAGGTGGCCTTGGACTAATTCAGATATCACCGATTCGTTCGTCTTAGAGTTTGTTTGAATTTTTTTGTATTCGAAAATGCAAACGAACTTTTGAATGGAGCAAAATAACTCTGTTGCACTTTGTGCGGAAGCAAGGATAGCGACAGCCAAGTTTATTTCTACAACACAGTTGCTGAGCACGCACGGCTGAGAGAGCCCAAGACTTCCAATTGGCCAATAAAAAAAAAAACATCAATAAAAAAGTTGGAGAAGACAAGAGTGAATGCGTTTCTTGAATCACACTCGGTTCTAAGAACTTGGGATAATGACTCACTCTTATCACGCACCATGTGTACAAATGTGCAGATTGAGAGATTGAGCATTGCTCAAGGCATAACACCTATGGAATATAATGGTGTTAAATCGTATTTAAGCAATTGCATTACGTTCCGAATCAATACCAAATATTACATTACTTTACTCTTGTAAAAAAAGCAGGTGACTAGAAATCAGCGACCAATCCCTTACCAACAGCGATCTTCCGGGTACTCCGCACTGTGCGGTGCCTCGAGTGCAGCCGCTCGTGAGGTTGGGCTAACGAGCGCATCGCTCCCATCGCTTCCATCGCACGCATCGACCGCGACCAGCGACATCAACCACACCCAAGCGCCCGTCCTGAGTACCGGAGGGCGTTTTTAACCCCCAGCGGGGGTCAATGGACTGAGCACCTCCTGCGGAACCGAAGCCAGCACTGACGCCGAAACGAATGAGGCCACGGCGCTTTTGACCGCCGGACGCGGCCCGAGCGTGCGGTTGGTGGAGTTTACCCCGCCTAGCCGACCGCCTGATATACTGTAGTGCACTGGTACATGTGTACCAGTGCCGATTCATCGATTCAATTTGAGGAAGCAACAAAGTCCGCCCCGGGATTTCCAGCCTCAGCTGATAACGTGTTGGTGGAGATGGACTATTTGATAAATGGAACGTGAAGGCAATGTGCGGTGGCGGTGGTGGTTATGATGATGATGCAACAGCGCTGGGCTGCGAGGGTTGACCTGGATGCAGCAGAAAGCAGAGATAATGAAGCCACTGCCAGCCCAGTTCAGTTTGTCAATGGGTGTCTATGACAGTCTCTGAGTCTATGGATCTCTATATGAATCTATGAGATAAGTCTGTTCAAAAAAAATATTTGGTGAAACTGCATTGGCAGTGGTACAAAAGCATGTTTTGTTTATAACACTGTGACCTTACAAGGAAAATTATATAAATAGGTGATGTTTGAGCAATTGCTCTTTTTCATAGCACATTAATCATTTATGTTTGTCGAGTCTTTTTTTTATATATATGGGTCTCTCTGAGTTTACAAATATCTCTATGAGTCTATGGGTCACCGAGTTTTACGGATCTCTGCGTCAGTCGACGAATCTCCATGTGAGTCGATCAGTCTCTATCGCTGAAGGTCAAGCCAATCCCAGCATGTTCCAGTTTGTCAATGAATCCAACCCGCATGCGTTATCATCAGAGACTAGAAAACCCGTGGCAGACTTGGCAGCCCCCTCAACCTGGAGGCCCGTGTCGCCAATGACGCACGCTGTATTCCTTCATCTTATGAACTAACACACTCAGTACAATAAGTTAACTAAGGGTAGATAAATTGAGTATTACTTTGTGGGACTTCAACCGTGGTTGTCCAACAGAGAAACTGTTGCCTGCCATAGGAATGTGGAATTTCCACTACCAACGGAGATGAGAACCACCGAGCGGGGAGCAACTTCGATTTATTTTTTCCCATGTTGTAATGAAATGAAGGTGTCATGAATCTCATAGTAGTCATGTGTGTGTGTGCTAGCTGTACCAGGCTTGTATAGGTGTGTGTGCGTGTGAATGCGCATGTGTGTGTGTGTGTGTTATGTTTACATGTCGATTTGACTCAGACGCAGCAGAAGGCTCGGTCAAGACTGAGATGAGCCACACATTCATTATGTTTCATTGCAATTCATCTGAAAGATTAAGGAGAATATCCTCCCTACAGGGATTTTGTTACACTTATACAGGCCTTTGCCATCCACTGCTGGATGAACATCTGTCCTGCCGGTCGATCATGGGAGTTGTTTGGCCATACTTCACCACGATGGTCACTTTGGGTTGGTGAAAGGAGGGAGGGGGGGTTCCAGGACCAATTTGGATATCGCTCGCCACCGATGTTAGGTGTGGCTTGGAATCGAACTCAGGTCACTGGGTTCACAGTGGGGTGCCTGAACCACTGCACCACCACTGCCCCTGCCATGATATTCCCTCTTCTGTATTTGCTGTTTTCACTTTTGGTTGTCAGCGTCATCACAGCTCTCATTGCTCCCTGCGAACTCACGATTGCATTTATTTGGAGAAATGTATTTATTGGGGCAGCAGGCTGGCACAGTTGTAACGCTTGCACCACAGAGCGCGAAGGGCCTGGGTTCAATTCCCCGACGCGGGCGCCTGTCCGTATGGAGTCTATGTGTTCTCTCCGTGCTCTGCATGGGGTTCATCAGAGTTCTCCAGTTTCCTTCCATAGCTAAAAGTCGAAATAATGTAACTTGCATTGGCCAAACATGCCAGTGCTGAAAAATTACCTGCAAATTACTCAATTGGGATGACACATTGCAACATCGCCCCCTACTGTTCGCGTTTCCATGTTTCTATGTGGTGACAGCTTGGGAAGGTCCTTAACCTTTCCCATTCCGATGACGTACGTGTCAAAACTTTATCGTTACATCTTCCGACCTGAAGATGTACAGAGGCTCCCACAAGGCCATGCGGGAGGGCGTGTGGCACAGTTGGGTGCCAGCTATCGTAGAGTGCGGTCGTGTTGCTAGGATTCTCTGTGGTGAGTACAATGTCTTTAAAAACAATGGCTCGACGCCTCTGTAAATTAAATTAATGCTGATTCGCTTGTGCGTTACGAAATTCAGCGGTGAACGGGACACCCTACCCTGTAACCTGCAGATGTCTCGGAACCGGAAAGGGTTAGGTAGCTATTTCTGCTCTCCTGCCTTATTTAATAGTAATGTACAAAGCTGCTGCTTCTGTGAAGTCCCAAAGTGAATAATAGGTTCATTAAAAATAATAACAGGGTGTTTTATTGCCACTGAGAGAAAAATAAATATCTTGACTGGCACTCTTAGGGAGATATAAAGGCCAATCGACCAAAACGTCGATATCTTTATTTTCTGTCAGCGCCAATGCAACACCCTGTTATTATGTTAATTGACCCGCTATTCATCGTGTTATCGCATCGTACATTTAACGTCTACTTTGAGGCCACACAATAAAAAGATCGACTTGTACTTTAACCATCAGGATGTGATCTGCTGTCAGATGTGGAGGGAGGATGGTGTGGAAGATGTCATTATGCGTTTGTGTGTGTGGGGAGCGGTAGTGTAGCGGTTAGCGCGCTGCACTATTAACCCGGCGACCCGGGTTCGATTCCCACTCACGGTCAACACCAGTGACGATTATCTGAACTGGTCCTGGGCCTAACCGAGGTCGACTCAGCCTCAAATTAGTACCTGGTGCGTTGTGTAAACATCGCCAATGAGGAGACAAAGGCGGCCGGGCGTGGTGTTGGCCACCCACCCCCTCGTGTGCCGTGCCGGCCCTCATAGGTGTTCGCTAACAGCACTTGCCCCATCAGTGTGTAAAGGCTATACGGTGGGATCTTTGTCTTTGTGTGTGTGTGCACACACGTTTGGGTGAGGACTGATCGTTTGTTGAGCAGTAGTGCATCAGTTAGCACTGCACTGTGCCTCAAACCTGGCGATCCTCATTCAATTCCTGCTCATGACCAAAAGTGGCAAATATCCTAACCGATTCTGGGCCTCCCCTTGGTCGACTTAACCTTAAAGTACAGTAATACCCCGGTTTACATTGGGGATGCAGTTCGTGAAAGGTGCGACGAAGAATTTCGAAACGACGTCAATCAAAGCGGTTTACAGGGTAGGTGGACGCGAAGGCTGAGAGGTGACGGATACGAGAGAGGACAGATTACGCTGTCAGTGACGTGTGGGTTGAGGTGACGTGTGGGTTGAAGCGACGTGTGGGTTGAGGTGACGTGTGGGTTGAGGTGACGTGTGGGTTGAAGCGACGTGTGGGTTGAGGTGACGTGTGGGTTGAGGTGACGTGTGGGTTGAGGTGACGTGTGGGTTGAGGCGACGTGTGGGTTGAGGTGACGTGTGGGTTGAAGCGACGTGTGGGTTGAGGCGACGTGTGGGTTGAGGTGACGTGTGGGTTGAGGTGACGTGTGGGTTGAAGCGACGTGTGGGTTGAGGTGACGTGTGGGTTGAGGTGACGTGTGGGTTGAGGTGACGTGTGGGTTGAGGTGACGTGTGGGTTGAAGCGACGTGTGGGTTGAAGCGACGTGTGGGTTGAGGTGACGTGTGGGTTGAGGTGACGTGTGGGTTGAAGCGACGTGTGGGTTGAGGTGACGTGTGGGTTGAAGCGACGTGTGGGTTGAGGTGACGTGTGGGTTGAGGTGACGTGTGGGTTGAGGTGACGCAAATCGGGTAGCGGTGTTAATAAAGTGACGATGTATTTGCGAAACGACGTAAAAGGGGGAGACGTAAATCGGGGTATGTATTTTGAACTTCTTTTGCGCCGTACGTAGCCAACCGTGCTAATCGGAGGTGCGAGATGCCTGTTCCTGGTGCGAAAACATCAACACTTGGGAGACAAAGGCGGCCTGGCCACCCACCCCGTCGTGTGCCGTAGGTGCTGCTACTTGCTAACAGCACTCGCCCCAGCAGTCTATAGGGGGAATCCTTGTCTCGGTGGTGACGGTGCGTACCGGGCGGGGTGTACGCGTCGATGGACGTCTGCGCGACGAGAGAGCGCCGCTTGCTCGGCATGGGCATCTTCCTGTCCACGTGCTTGGCTAGCGCCGCCTGCACTGCTTCCGTGTGTACATCTGGGATGGGTCGCAAGGGGTCAGAGGTGAGGGTCACAGGGATTACAGAGACGGAATAAGAGGGGCTCGGTTGGGGGGGGGGGGGCACGCCACTCGATCCATCGTCGCAGCCGCAGTGTGCTACCCCCGCACGCCATCAAGAGGCTGCGGCATCGTCACTCCCCATTGCGATGGTGCACGCCGTGCTGTGTGTTGCTGTACCGGCGTGTAGCAAGGGTCCGGTAACGGTGCGGTAACGGTGCGGTAACGCGGTGTGCAGTGGCGTTGTCTGGGAGAGGCCTCACCGGAGCGGTAGCGTTCATCGCGAGTGCCGGAGGGACGGCGCCGTCGGCCGTACTTTGAGCAAGACGAGGAGGAGGAGAGAGGAGTGACGGGAGAGGCACGGCGCTCCCCTCCGTACGCCGCATCCGACACTGTCGCCGTGGCAACCGAGCCAACCCCACCGTTGTCAGCAATGAGGGAGGGGGGGGGGGGCGGGGGTCGGGGGGGGGGGAACGAGAAACCACCATCGTCACCACCACAAATCAGCAACGCCATTCACAGCACACCCGGTGCGGATGCGAACATCGTTCAACAACGCGGGCGACCACCACCAACCCCTGGAAAAACGATGTCAGCCGTTTCCAAGTAAATGCCACCATTTCCCTCGCCAACGAAAAAACCGAATCGTCAGAACCAACAGCAGCAACATTCAACAGCATCACATTCAGAAGCAGCAACATTCAACAGCAACCAGAGTACCACCACTGCCACCATCATCCACTGCCACCATCACCGCCACCGCCACCCCCACCGCCATCCCCGAGTGCATGAGCCGTCGCTGTCAATAAAAACTAGGAAAGTGACCCTTTGTCTTGGAGACGGCGGTGTCCATTAGCATGCCGGCCCATGGCTGCTGCAGGAGCAGCAGGTAGGTGTGGCTGGGAACGAGAGGTGTTGTGGATGGGTGGGTGGTGAGGAGGGAGGAGAGGAGAGGGAGGGGAAATCCGCACCGCAAAAAGCACCTGCGTGTATATAAACTAAAAGCGGTTACTGTTTTCCACGCACACAGTAATCTGAATCAACAGACAAAACCTTTAAAAAAAAAATTTAATGGGCAAATGCAGGGAAGCCGTCGAAGCGGTGTTAACGGTGAGCACAGTGGGCCCGAAACAAGTCCAGAGACCGCCGGTTCGATTCCATCTCATGACGCGGCAGTTGAGCCATCGCGGCGAGTTTCTTTTAATCGAACCCTACCGCTGCCTCTTGCTGCCCAGCAGCATCAATGGGTTACACCGCAGTGAGTCGATCAGCAGCAGGCCGCGTGTGGTGGGGTTAAAGGGTAACTCACACCTCGTCCAACACACACGGCCAGCGTGGGAGAGTAGGCCAAATACACTCTAGAGCTCCCTTCTAGTGGAGGGCCTTCGCCAGCAGTGGCCTGAGCAATGAAGACATTTGAGCTTGATTTGGCGCTATCGTGACTGCAGGAATTACTCTTTGGTTCTTTCTGTGTGCCTATGTGTGTGTCTCTCTCTGTGTGTCTCTGTGTTATCTCTCTCTGCTTATGTGTCTGTCTGTGTGTCTCCGTGTCTGTGTTTTGTCTCTCTCTTAAATTTAGAAAATCTTTGGAAGAACGTTAATCAACCAGATAGGGTGTTGACTGTTATGTTAGCCGACTATCTGTGCTCTATTGCATTATATTTCTAAGTTTACTAGGTTTGTTCCCTCTTTCATTTGTACCTGATGATGATTGCTTGTGTTGCAATCGAAACGTCGTATGATATTACTTAATTTATTATTTTCTCTCTCTACGTGACTTTACCGAAAGAAGCAAAGAGAAGACATTTGAGTTTTTCGCCTTTTGACCTTTTGACCGAGCAATGATGGCAAATGTACCATGCGGTGACTTAGACCACCGTGCGGTTGGTACATTCGCGCGTGCCAATCCGCGCATTCATGGCGAACATTCCAATGGCATCGGCGACCGGCTCCTGACTTTTGGGAACCGGTAATCAATTCTGAAAACAGTCATGGGTTTAGTGACTGTTGTTGACACCGCTAGTTTATATGCATAGCTCCTGTGTGTGTGTGTGTGGCCGTGTGTGCTAACCATCCGTGGCGGACGCTGCAATGTTGTGGGTATGTGTAGCAGTATCCCACCAAACAGGACTTCATTGAAGCTGGGTCTGTCCAGGTGAGCAGCCCAAAAAACATGCCCACACTCGGCACACCGTATCCATTATACCTCTCGCGCTGCTGTGGTTACCTGTCACCTGCCGAGTGAAGTCTACTGGCAGCCCAGAAAATAAATATTCAGTGAGAAATGAAGGCCTAAGTACAGGTGCACGCATCTCTCGACCTGCGCATGAATGTGTCTGTGTGCATCTGTCAGTCACCCTCCTCGTCATGTAACACATACCACCTCGGCCTATCTCATGACCCCGTCCCAGTGCGTAGAGTGCATCTCGCGCCATGATGATGACACTAAGATGACACCACGGGCCCAGTAGTATACGGCTCCTCTTGTTGTGAGTACTGAATGGGTGAGTGTAGGTGGCCCTGCACGTGTGAACTGTCACGTTGTGCTGTTAAATGGGGAGCAGTGGTGTAGCGGTTAGTGTGCTTCGCTACGAACCCGGCGAGCCGGGTTCGATTGCCGCTCACGACCAACACCAGTGATGATTATCTCAACCAGTCCTAGGCCTCCCCTCGGTCGACTCAGCCTCAAATGAGGACCTGGTGCGGTGCGTGGTGCTGGCCACCGGTCCCCTCGTGTGCCGTGCCGGCCTTCATAGGTGCTTCCTAACAGCACTTGCCCCAACAGTTTATTGAGGCTATACGGGGGATCTTAGTATGCATGTTGAACTTATTTCGCACCGTACGTAGCCAACCGTGCGAATCGTAGGTGCCGGCCTTTGTCCGCACCGAGCCACATGAGTTGGACTCCAGGTCACGGCTAACATCAGAGGCGTACGAACCAGTCCCAGGTGAACTCCACCTGAAAAGCGAGCACCTGGTGCAGTGTGCAAACATCAGCCCTGGGTGAAGCCAGAGGCAGCCCGTGGACGTGGTCAAGTTCTGGCCCCACAACCCCCTGCTTGTGCACTGTGACTGCCTTAACAGGTGCTCGCAAACAGAACTTGCCCCATCATCAACTTGTGTAGGCCATAGGGGGGAAGCTCGGTGCGGTCTCTGTGTGTGTGTGTGGTGTTGCATTATAATTTATGGCACACCTTCACACCCCCCCCCCGCCCCCATGTAAAAACAACCCAGCGCCACCCTCCCAAAGACAAACAGCATCAAACCGTGCAAACAGCACAGCCTGGCCTTGTGTGCACTCGTTCACACATATTTACATAATACCTGCGTATTTGTCTACACGACTGTAAGTTGTCCGTGTGCACCACGCGTGCAGAAGCTGGGCGCTCGCGATTATCCGAGCGACCGATTTCTCGAGCGAGTCTCATCGGCACGATTATTCATCAACTCGACCCGTTCGTGCGCTACCGGCAGCAATGTTGGCTCCGTTAGCCAAACGCCAATGTCGCGGTCTGCTGCTGGCCGCGACGAGAGGGCTTCGGGAGAGAGTTCGTCTCGTCTTGCCGTTCCTCCTCCTCCGTCGAAGGAGCGCTGGCCAGTGCCCACCAAGGCCGTGGCCATGGAGTCAACATTTGGGGGGGACCAAATCTTCCAGGGAGTCTGGAGGTCCCCCCCCCCCCCAGAAAAAAAAAAACTAAATTTGAAAACTCATTTCCTGCCATTTCCTGCCTAAAATATAAAAAAATTCACTAACACATAGGATGGACTTTTTATTTCTTTTTTACAATAATGTCTAATAGTGTATTGTATTACATTGCTCTGTTTTTTCTTTTTTACCTTTTCTTGTTTCATTGCATCATTGCATGTAGTGGCAGAGATTAGGGATTAACAAAGTACAACCATAACCACAACCATATAAACAGAAATCTATTTTATAGCAATATATTTGGAGGGACATTTTGAGCATATTTTAATATTTATTATGATTATGCCCACAATCACACGACTATGGCATGTGTATTTCATGTATCTCTGTGGGTCTCGTTTTTATCAACTAAATATGTGTGTGCGTCTCTGTGGGACTCTGTATCTTATATAAATGTATAAAGGCGCCTAAGTACAAGTCTCTTTTACAATAATTAATTATCGAATTGTACCTTAGATATGGTAGTGGTTCAAATAAAGAGTGGGGGTTATTAAAAGTCGTGGCGTAGCTGCAGTGGCAGTAACGAGGACAGGTGGGAATGATTCAGGAAGGGTTTGGATAGCGAGTCTCAATGTATCCATACACACATCTACGTGTCTCTATGTATCTCTATGTATCTCTATGTGTCTCTATGTATCTCTGCGTCTCTATGTGTCTCTATGTATCTCTATGTGTCTCTATGTATCTCTGTGTCTCTATGTATCTCTATGTCTCTGTGTATCTCTGTATCTCTATGTGTCTTTATGTATCTCTATGTATCTCTATGTGTCTCTATGTATCTCTGTGTCTCTATGTGTCTCTGTGTATCTCTATGTGTCTCTATGTGTCTCTGTGTATCTCTATGTGTATCTGTGTATTTCTATGTATCTCTGTGTCTCTGTGTATCTCTATGTATCTCTATGTGTCTCTGTGTACCTCTATGTATCTCTATGTGTCTCTGTGTATCTCTATGTGTCTCTGTGTATTTCTATGTATCTCTGTGTCTCTGTGTATCTCTATGTGTCTCTGTGTATCTCTGTGTGTCTCTGTGTATCTCTATGTATCTCTGTGTATCTCTATGTGTCTGTGTATCTCTACGTATCTCTATGTATCTATATGTCTCTGTGTATCTCTATGTGTCTCTGTGTATTTCTATGTCGGGAGGAAGGACGTGGGGCGTAACCACAATTTTGAAAGGGGCCCCGTAAAACGAAGATAAAGATCCCCGTATAGCCTTAACAGACTGTTGGGGCAAGTGCTGTTAGCGAACAGCACCTATGAAGACCGGCCACGGTACACGAGGGGGTGGGGTGGCCACCACCACGCCCGACCGCCTCTGTCTCCCTAGTGGCGATGTTTACACACCGTAGCAGGTACACATTTTTGAGACTGAGTCGACCTAAGGGAGGCCCAGGACCGGTTCAATTAATCGTCACTGGTGTTGGCCGTGAGCAGGAATCGAACTTCGGTCACCGGGTTCGTAGCGCAGAACGCGACCCACTTCGCCACCGCTCTTCCACTACGCCACGTATGTATGTTTAACTTATTTCGCGCCGTACATAGCCAACCGTGCTAATCGGAGGTGTACCACACGCACGCACGCACACGAAGACACACACATACTCACGAAGACACAAACCCACACACACGAAGACACACACACACACAACCGAAAACACAAACGCACACACACACACACGCCGCGTA